TAAATTCAGCTCTGCCAGAGAGAATGAACTCAGCGTTAGTCTGTGTGTTTGGCAGCAGAGGCAGGTTCAGTCATTATGGCGCATGTGAATATAAATCCCTCTGTCAAAGGCCAAAGTTCTATTTACATCTCAGGCTTTTGAAGATGGTCGATTTGACCAGTGAGGTGCAGCAACAATGATTTATCACTCAAGGATTCTACCTGGCTGCTGGTTCACGGTTCACTGAGGCTTACCATCACATTGATTTGTGGCTCATAAATTATTGTCATTTTCATTACGCAGCAGACTTGAATAAAGCCCGGAAGTCTTGACACAACAACCTGAGCTTGCAGAGTCATTTTAGCTTCACTTTAACTAAAGATATACTGCTATCTCTGCATTCCTAAATCATGTGGCTTTAACTATAGAGACTGAGGTTCTCACTGGTGGAACTCTTTATATGGATACGTGATAGGTAGACGGTCAGAATAATCTTGGATATGATGGCCCTCCTGAAATTATGTGCATTCTTAAAAAATGCTTCTTTTTTTACCTCAATGCACCAAATTTGGTAATTATGGTAACCATGTCCAGATGGACAAAAAAGTCTGCTGGGGCCAGAATAAAAGCCTGCAACTTTCAAGTCTAATTGATAAGAACACTGTTGTAAAATGCAGCATGACTCAAAAGATGTTAGCCATCGCAAATAACCTGGAAGGCTATCTTAAAAGCAACTGCAGCACCAACAGCAGTGGTTAGCATGGTGGCTACAAACAGGAAATTAGGTATGGATGTTTCTAATAATAATAATAATCTTTGACAAATTTGGTTTCTTTAGTTTGGAAAAAATTAGAAAGTAAAGTTTAAAATTGTAAAATGAATAAGGGACTAGATTATTATTGTAAGGAATATTTTTTTCTTTTTATAAGAACCTTACCTGAAGGCAGTGCAAAGGCCTTGAAGCAAAATAATAAAAAATATAGCTCCAAGAAAGATGATACTTTTTTTTTAAATCTGAGCTTTAGCCACTTTACAAAAACGTTCCATATTCAATATACATTTGCTTTAATTGCTATTTTTGAAAAGGAAACCAGTTTGTGTAGTATTGTCAAAAGCCTGACTTTCACACCAAGGCGAATCAACTGCACTGTAAATCTATTTGCGAATGTTCTAGTTCAGTGGTTCTCCAACTTTTTGAGTTGAGCTGAGTACCACCATGATGACCAACATTCGAATTCACCTGCTCGTTCCACGTTCAACTTGCTAGTGATCCCATGATTCTGTGCTGTCTTGCTCACCAAGATACGTAACAATGGCTACATTTCGCTACCTTTTCTAGCACTGATACATGCACAAGATTTGAATTAACACTCCATACATAGACAGCAATAAAGTGAGAATAGCAGGACAGAAGCGCAGCCCATTTACGCTCAGAACTGGAACACTGCATACAGTAACATTCTCAAACCGAGGCATTTAAGGGGCATTCTGCCCCGAGCTTCTCTGAACATCTCTCCCTGACTAGTACCGACTACCAGGCAGTAAAAAGGAATCATCCCTCCAAGGTTAGAAACCCAGTGCATGCCTGACATTCTAACACAGGGCAACATCGCATTCATATCCTTGTGCATCTGTAAAATCCAAAGGATCACTGAGAGCAAAACAACCTCCTTGCGGCTGTTGATTAACGGAGACAGACAAGACGCTGCCACTGAAGTCTGCACTTCGTTTATTCCACATTACACATAGTCCTACTTTGCAACGATCCAACATCCTAACGTCCTGACAAGACTGCAGAAACCAACATCCTGGGGGAACGCAACCATTTACTTTGAGGTCTACCTGAATTTATGACAAAGCAACTCAGAAAGAGGAGTGATGCAAAATGCTCAGACAGCACGGGCCAGTGTGGGCTCGGATTTGACAGGGTTGAGAAAGTATGGGATTAATGATTCCATGCTTTAAAGCTCATTTTTATACACATGAACAGTGTGAAACGATGAAATCCAATTAGACCAATAAGGGACAGGGGGGAGAATCTAAAGGCATTAATCCATCTGTAAGTGAGCAGAAATCACTGCAGGGCTGTCTAATTGAATTTTATCCCCTGACTTACAAGTGACCCAAATTGAATATAAGCTGCCTAAACATGTAATGTAAAAGCAACGGCCTTTGCAAAGCTGTCACATGAAATGAGGATCATAAGAATCTAGAACAAGGTGGGAATATGCTGACTCAAAAGGTAGGGTTACGGTGATTGTCACTGTTCATCTATACTGTCGATGAACGACGACAATCAGTGGGATTCTGGATGTGTGTGAGTATGTGCGTTCTTCTCCACTAAGATGAATATTAGAGTTGAGGTTCTATAGACGTCTGCGGATGACGTCAGGATCGAGGAGGGTGAATGTATGAGTAATGACAGGATGGGATGATATCATATAATAACAGACTGATGCAGGCCAACAGCACACTTCCTGTCTCAGAGTGAGGTTTAAGCCACGCTGCTGCCACTGTTGAAATGTGTTCTGTTTCTACATCTTCACCAACGACACACTATTTGATTAGAACAGTGGAACAGTGGTTGGCGTTTCTGTCTTACAGAGTGATGAAAACTGCCATGATCAATGGTGGTAACCAATGAGTGACTGGTAAACTGTCCAGGGTTTATAGACGACACGACCCTCCCCCCACAACCTTTAGCATTTTATTCTATTTTTTTACTATCGGCGTGAGTAAAAGATGTTGGATGGAAACCAGAAACACACTCTGACAAAGCATGAATCCCAAAGAGGAACATTTCAGAAGCCTGTGTTGAATATTCTCAGTCAGACATTTCAGTGAAACTTGAGGACTGAGGTCACTAAGGGTGGCTGCACACAGAGATGTCTGGTTCTTGAAACAACAGCGCTGTACAGATAAAACACATTTCTAACCAGAATGGTTCCAATTTGCAAAGATAAAAAGATTTCCCAAAGGTTCAGTTTTTATTTAATTGGTGAGTCTGGTCAGTTACAATCAGCCAGCAACAGTTTTTATTACACTGTTCTTGAGGACTGGAGGACCACTGCTGCCACCATCACATATGTAGTCGCTGTTCAATGCAAAAAATAAAGTCATTTTAGTACTGTAAAATACTAATATGTTCATGGATAGTACCAATATTTTTTTCTTATACCGACATGACCAACTAAGGTATGTTGATAATTTTAAAAAAAGATTGAAAATAAATCTTAATTATTGTTGACATCTAGTCCCTGGTTGGATTTTTCTGACTGATTGTTTTAGTCATATTCTATACTCCATCGTTTTTATCACTAACACCTTTGTCCTTCCAATATCAAACATGGCCACAGCTCCCCTTCCTACTCTTTGTATTTTTAAGTAGGGATCATTCTGAGAGCATAAAGTTCGCTGCGTTTGGTCAACATTAATGTTGTTTTAGGATTAGGTTCAGCTGTTGAGGGCAGTGATTGACGACACACCCCCCTCACAGCATGACAGGCCTTGGTTGAACTGTCCTGTCGCTTCACACCAAAGTGAGAGAAACCTTGGTGATCAGACTGGTTAGTGGCCAAAGTTGTAAATCTCCAACAATGTTGCCATGAATTCTCAATTATTACTTCATCTAGTCACAGATTCAACAGCCACAATCTCTTCACTAATACTGTTAAAACTACAATCTGCGACACAATGTTTTATTTCTATTTTTATGTTGAGAAATACTCAGTCTTTTCTATGTCTGGATGTCTGGTTTGTGTGAGTGTATGTTTATTTATTTATTTTTATTTATTTTTACAAATGAAGCTACTGCCACATACAGTTCACCATTTGTAGAGAAGAGGCTTTGTCATTCAAATGTTTTACACGTCTTAAAACCTTTAGACTTACCCATGTACCTTTTCATCCAGAAACAGCCAGACTACTTGGGGGGAAAAGGTGAAAACACCAGCAGTGTGCAACACTGACACATACAACAACACCATACACTTCTAGTTGGCCCATTGTTGGTAAATTATTTCATGTTGTACCTTTAAAGTAATTGATTTTCAAATAATCTGATACAAAAAGACAGAGAAAAGTACGTGGAGTCCAGAACATGGTTTTTCCAAGATTGTTGTTTGTCTCTGTTTTGTTATTTTGTTGTTTTTGTTTGTTATGTGTTTTGGTGCTTTAGCCGTAGCTCCAATATTAGCCATACACAGAAAATGTGCTTTGTTTTTTGTTTTGTTTTTTCTAGTAACAAGGATCGAGCAGACTGTACAGATCTTCATCCATTATCCTGACCTGTGCTAACAAAAAATAATAATAATTTTGGATGTCCATGTAGTAGTGTTGCCTGGCGCTTGTATGTGATTTAACGTTGTGTATTTTATTGGACATTCATGAGAATGTAGTAGTGAATCAGCAAAAAAACTCATCTTTTTTGTTGAGTCAAATTTTATCAAGGAAAAAATATTCTGGCTCCCATAATGTTCTTTTTTTTAAACAAACGTGGGGTGATGTAAATAAATCCAACACTCCTGCACTCAAAGGTGTGTGTGTGTGGGTGGGGGGGGGGGGGTAAAAGGCAGGTGCCAGTGCTGCACTTTGCTGGACAAGTCGATTCTGTTTAAGGCTGCGTACATTGTACTACAAGCTGGAGTGACGTTAAGTCCTTAAGTCACTGAAATGGAAAATGTCCACTTTCACTTCACAGACCCTGCACACTGACACACACACACACACACACACGAAGCCTCCACAGGTCTCGTGTGTTTCAGACTCCACTCCAACTGTGGCTTTTACGCACCATGCTCACATGCACAGATGCACGTGCACATGCCTTGGCACTGTGCCTTTCTGGCACTGTTCAATGCCCACTGAGTTCCATCTTCAACAGAGCCGACTCTGACACACTGAGCATGCAGCGCTATTTCCAAAGTTAAATCTAAAGACATGAGTCCGACCCTACGGCAGGGTTGATGCTAATCCATTTAACTCCAGCACACACGGTCAAAACATTAAGAACAAGAATTCACCTGTGATTCTGGCGGGGCGCGGACCCTCCACAGTGCGTCAGTGGATGGAAACACAGCCTCGGGACTGTTGGAGAGAGAGCGCAGCGGAGGCACAGCAACAAATGATGTGCGGTGATCAGAGGGAAGTGAGTCTGGGTGAAGCCCGGTCGGACGCACAGCTTCCCCGCTGGAAGATCGCTGCTCCTGCGCGTGTTGCGCTCAACTTTCCCCAGCACACTGAGTGGATGTCCAGACAAACCAGGTCTCTGTCCAGGCTCCCGTGCTGCTACTGACTGTCCCTGCTCTCTACTGGCACTTTATTTCTCACGGTGACAGAAAAATAATTTAATAAATGGAAAGGGGTGGGAGGAGGAGAGGAGATGAGAGGAGAGGAGAGGAGAGGAGGGAGGCGCGGGAGCCAAGACGATCAATATTCGGTGCACAGCTCCACAGTGAAATAAGATTCTAACCATTTGGAATAGTACAAATAAATTGAAAATCAATACGTGATGTCCGATGTTGATATTGTGCCAATGAATAAGTCATGTTTCCAAAACAATGGAACTATTATACAGGAACTGTCAGCCCGCAGGCCACTAGATGGGGCTCTTCTGAATTACGGAGCAGAGCATGCCGGTAATTAACCTATAACGAACGAATGCGCCCGGATTTCATGATGTGAGAATTTCGGGGAGAATTTTCGAACAGCTCCTTCTGCGATACTTAAAAATATATATTGACATTTTATTTTTATATCAAACCACGGTTGCTAATAATTTGATGTAATTTGTTATGTCAAGGGGGTTAAAACCATCAGGACTCAAACAGATAATCTGGCTGTAAGGCAAAAGCACTATCCACTTTTCCCACAGGCAAACAGGAGTGTTAACAGTTATTCTCGTCACATCTGTGCTTTCATTTCAGGTCAACATATCCCTAAATCCAGCCTCAGGAGGTTTGACTAATGCTGAAATTCATATGATGCATCCTTAACCTAACACACACACACACACACACACACACACACACACACACACACTTGATTATACTTTGTTGTGAGAAAATCCATAGATACAAGACACTTCTTGGTCTTTTAACCATCCTAATTAAAATGTAATTAACCGTTATTTTGTCCAGAATGAAATCCTCATTAAACTAAAGCCCTAGAACAACAGACAGTGTTATAACAACAGTCTATCATGAGGACCTCCTCCATCGACCATATCTGATGGATATCTGTGACTGTTGGGTTGTGTAGTAACTTGACCAGAGTCCATGGACCTCCATTGCTAACCATTCCCATTAAATCCACCACTCCTCCAAGACCTACTGACCTTCACAGATGTTGTGAAGCAACAACAACCTCCCTGAATATTGTCATGATGTGGTCATGTTCTCCCAACCTAATAACACCATGTACACTCAGCCGTGGCTGTGATTACTGACTCAACGTCATTACAGTATTATCTCCAAACTGAGTTTTTCTTCTGAGGAACATCCAGGTCTCGGGATAATTTGCTGTGAAATGAGGGAAGAACAAAGCACGTCAACCAGCAGGGCATAGAGCATGTGGATAAACCGGTGTGTGAACCTGAATTATAAAGGTGCACGGGAAATTATGCCGAATTTAGCGTAGCACTTTTTGATTTTTAAGGTTCTTTGCTCATAGAGAGAAGTCTCTAAAACCTAAGAATGAAGAATTTTCTTCTCTGTTTTCTTCTCTGTCCAAAAGAAGTGGATCTCAAACTATGGTACGCATACGCTGGAAGTCAGTCACCATGGTTGTACCTACCTGGTTATATAATATATTCCTGTGAAACAGTACCTTCCTGTTTGCTTGTATGGATGTGTGTGGACCGTATTGTTCAATGTTCATTGGCTGATAAATAGACTGGGTAAATAGGGTCGGCTGCTGCACTTTAATGTTGGTCGAGCTGTTGATGCTTCAACATCCTTTAAGTACTTTTAAAATTGTACGCAGTATAAAAGGTTTAGGAGCCCCAGGTATACTGTATATAAAACATATGGAGTAACTGTAGAGTGTCCAATCAACCTGATCCACTAAAGTGTATGTTTTTGTACAGTGTGTGTGTGTGTGTGTGTGCGTGAGAGAGAGACCCTGTCATGGACTGGTGAACTGTCCACGATGTAAGCCTGTGTGTGAGAGTGAGTTTTCCCAGTTTTTTCCCAGGGTCAATAGAACAGACATCTAATGCAATCGTTTGTGAAAACGTTTCAGTCTGGACAGGGAGCAGGACAGACCATCCTTTTTATGTCTTTTGAATTAAACATCAAAATATATGAAGCATCGACAAGCTGTATGAATAAAATCCTCTGTCAAAGAGAAAAGTCTTTCACCTTTTGTCAGATAAAACCCAGTATTATGTGTCTTCCCATCAGTGTCCGTAGTGTTTGAATCATAAAGAAAAATAGAAAATAATCACGTTTGAAAAATAATTACTTTTCTGGTTAGTGACAAGAAAATCATTTCTAGATACTAGAATAACGGTTAGCTCTGTTAGTGAAAGTGACACTTTTGTTGGAAGAGGTTTATTTTCAGTAAAGTAGGGTTAGCTTGAACAGTAAAGTTAATTTGTTTATTTGGTTAATCTACTAGTTAGTTTGCACCAGATTTATAAACCCTTAATATTTGTAATATTATGTAAATATTTGCTTTTTCTTTATTTTCATCTGTGATTCTCCAGATACATTTTTGAGAAAGAAACTAAAGATGTCATTTAGTTAGTAATTCACCTCAAAGTTCTTTTCAAAACTATATGGTGGCAGTCGGCTCCAGAAGAATGTGCCTCTTCTTTTTACCCAGCCGGTGTGAGGCTGACAAAGGCAGTCATTAATATGGCATTAGGAGCTGGCTGTGAAGCCATAACTGCCCTGGGCACACATCGGCGTCCATGTAGCACAGTCCTCTTCAGCTACACCTTCCCCAAGGTTGAAATGTCATCCTTCACTGTCATTACATTTCTGCCCCATTAACTATTGATTATCTCCACTTCAGTTTTTTTCAGGCCAGCCGTGGAATCGGCCCACATGGTTTGTGAAAAGCCACATTACATGGGTTAGGCTGCGTCGATGTAGCTGCTGTCAAGTGTCTGTTGTGGATTGTTAAAATGGAAGTTAATAACTCAGTTCAAAGTTGCATGTTTTTTTTTTTCTTTTTACTTTCATAAACCGGAGCCTTTTACTTTTCTATATGTTCCTGTAGGAGGTGCTATAAACACAGTTTTGTTGCCTTGGTCAGTGTTGAGTGCAAAAGTCAGGTGTGAGTCTGTTGAAACAAAAGTTTTTTCAACAGCATGGAGTAACAGATTTTAAGTCTAACAACAGTTTACTAGTTAACATAAAATGTTATGATAAAAACATGAGAAGGAACGCTTATCAGCAAACAGCTGATAAACAACAAGGGGTCATGTGAACACCCCTGCCCCCACCAGTAAAATACAGTTTTAATTACTTTTTCTGATTCTATTTCCACCTCATATAATTTAGTTTATATCTGATGACACCAAAAGTATTTTATTCAATATCCTTTTACCCACTCTCACTTCTTCTTAAAAAAAACAATTACAATTCAATGATAAATTCTTAAATGCACTGTGACCACCTAATGGTCTCGATTCACACAATAAAATCACCAGAAATACTTTGTAAACCTGAAAAATTTGGAGAAGTTAACAAATTGAGGGGAGAGTTGCTAAAAATAAATTAAAAAAAGATCCACCTTTCATTTCATTGGTCCAGTTATGCCTAAGAAGTTATTGTACTTTTGTATGATTAAAGTTTTTATTTATTTTCTAAATATTTTATATTTACATGACTTGTCATTCATTTTTGTTTATATGATCTAACTTAGTGATACAGAGAATAACAATAGACCTTGACTCGACTGACATTTCTATCTTATCTTTACTGGCGTTATCTGCTGTTTCACTTCCAGCAAATCTTTATCAGGTTTTTGTGTTGGCACATTGTTTGGATCTTGGTTGAGGCATTCGCTGCTAATTAGAAAAGTCAAAATGTCAGTACACCTACCAGGCAGTGAACCAACAACCTGTAAATGTTGAAGATGCCTTTCTGTGTGTTTTTTTTATTATTATTATTATTATTCTGCCTGAGGATTTTCTGTTTACTCCTGTTCAGATAACACAGCCAATGAGGTCTGCAGCCTTAATGAGTTACCACAGTTATTAATTACAGCGGCTAATGAGCTATATTTTTGTTTATGACTCATTTGTTTATTGTTGTTTAATTAACAGTCTCAGTAATCACAGTATTAGACTCTATTATCATGCGTGTTTTATTCTTTTTCTCTTATTTTATCCTATTTCTAAAAAACAATTTCTGCCATGTGTGGGCTAATAAATCTGCGTAAACACCAGAGGGCTTTGTGTTCCTCATTCAGATGTACTGTAGGTGTGCAGCTCACTCTCACTATCCTGCCAGCATCAGTGAAAAGGAAGGGTCATTGTGTTGGAACACCATCTTGTTGTTCTTACACTGTGAATCTGGCAGCACTTGCTCATACACTGACAGAAATCAGTTTGATTTGACATTTTTTACCAGTGCCCTGGGCATAAACAATGTTGGGACTGATGTTGGCGTTCAGAAAATGACAATATCACAGGCCACAGATTTGTAGTGCCTGTTGTAGTGTATCACAGTATCTCAGTGTATCAGGAATAACGTATGCCTTAATAAAATCTCATCAGGTCATGTGCTGTCTGTGATTATATGGAAAATGGACCTGACTCATACAACAGACCATGTCTGTTCTGTATGTACAACATAGACAGCCATAATACCCTGAAGGTGCACATAACAGCCTTTTAATACAATTTAATTTAATTAAAAAAAAATACAAATGATTCAGAAGTCTCGACATGAGCTATTAATAGAAATTTTTATTTTGGTATGTTTTTCCCACTGCTTGCTGGTAGACACTGGCCAGCTCTTCCTCTCACAGCTCAGCTTGGTTATTACAACCACAAATTTCTGAGCTACATTGCTTCTTGTTATGATGCTGGGTTTTTTGGTTTTTTTGGGTGGCTTTACATGGCAACAATGTCATCACTCAACAGTAGACTCTTTATTTAACCTAATTCATATTTTATCAGATCGTACAGTGGACTGGGCCTTAGTGCTTTTGTCTTGCAGCAAAAAGATCACAGATTTAAGTCCAGTTCTGTCTGTGTGTCTGTGTGTGTGTGTGTGTGTGTGTGTGTGTGTGTGTGTGAGATGGACTGTCCAGGATGTAAAGCTGCCCTGATCAGATGACCACTGAGATTAACTTTAACTTCCCCGTCACCATGGAAGAGATTAAGTGCTAGAGGATGGGTAAATAAATAAATAGATCAATAGTCATTGATTAGTACAAATTGTGTTGATGAGCTGATGAGAGTTCGTCCCCAGGGCAGTCCTGAACTCCAGCAGCTCAATGTCTGAATGTGAACTACTTCAAACAAGGACAGAACATTGTTGTGTGTAAAGGCTGCGATCTGGTTTTCCGTAGCACGGTAAAGGCATCACTGTGTTATTGTTTCTCCATTAGTTGGTTAGCTAGGCTCAGCCAATCACAAAGCTCGTTATTGAAGGCTGTGCAGGAGGATGTGAATTGTTTTTGATTGATTTATGAATTTCTTAAATTGTCATTTCTATTTTATACATGTACAAACAATAATATTTTAACCCATGTGTTGTTGGCATGACTTATTATTTAGTCTGAAGTCTAATGTCTCATTAGAAGCTTAACTGTTCCTTTCTGGTTCTGTAAGCATGTTTACAAGAATCATGCAGGTGCAGAAATTGGTTTTGGCACAGACGTCTACTCTGTTGTTTGCAAATTATATTTATTATACAATAGTTAGACTGTTGACTATGTTTTTCATACACCTGCAAGAACCTCAGAGCACCTCTGCTGTGCAAACTGTTAATTGGCTCTGTTACTCTGTTGTTACTCTGGTGTTTGCTGTTGTTCTTCAATAGCTCAGTGTCACTGCTGTTTAATGTTCAAAACGAGGAGCTAACGAATTATGTTTCATTACGCTCCCAAACGAAACAGGTCGGTTGACGGGGAGATGACTTATACGTCATTAAATCCATGGTTTATGTGCAAGAAAAACAAAACATAAATCCTCAACGTAATGTTCTTTATTATCGCAACAGGAATAGAACAAAACATCAAATCCAACCAGAATTATTTTATTGTCATTTTATCAGCAACAACAACAGGCATTGCATTGTCGGGCATTAAACCCACACCAGAAACACATCCACGAGGCATTGAATACTTTACATTGAATAACTTCTCATTTGCATAATCAGAGGATCTTTCCATCAGTTCAGATCTGGGATAAACAAGAAATACATTTACCTACAGGAACAACATACGTGTTGTTTAACACTAGTCCCGCTCTACAGGATTACAGCGCAGAGTTTAAATCCACTGGAATCCATTGTGGCTTTGTGGATAATCCCATCACAACTGCAACAGTGCAGCGCTACTACAGAACACCCAAGCTTGTTTGCACAGAGGAGAGCCTACAGTTGAGGGAAAAGCAGGAAATGTGGCAGATTTGACATGGTTCACATCTTTGATTAAAAAAAAAAAAAAAGAAAAGAAAAAAACCACACACTAATCCTACAACTCTGTTAGCTTCTACCACAAGAACACCTCAATTTATAAGTTTGCATTTGTCCTATCAACTGAAGTCCACACAATACCAGGAAAAACACAATTTAACTAAAAACAAATGTGCAAACTAAATGTAAGCCTGAGTTTCCTAAAGTCACTTCTTTGTAAGGAAATACTGAGTTAATGTGCCGCTGGTTTTCATTAATGAGGGCACATTGGCTAAATGCTTGTTTTCTAAACAATTATTTGCTTGCCATTTATTTTTCCTGAATTTTAAGGTCAGTCAACAGTTTTCTGACATTTTAATAAATGACAGTAATTAAGTAAAAACAAATTAGGTTTGACCGATAGACTGTATAAAGGAGTTTTGTAGCCTTCAATACAGCGTGAGGGAAGACAGGAAGAGCTGTGCTGAATATATTTAAGAAACAGTTTTATCACTAGTTTAGGGTCCACCGTTCACTAAGTGAACAAAACAATTACATTTTTATCACTGATAACGTAACTACTACACTAATAAAAAAACTACTTAGGTTAAGATCTTTTAAATTTTATAAAAGTCATGATTGTGGAACGCATGTCATTAAAACCCTTTGGCCCACTTACCCTGAGTTTAAAAATATATACTAAAATCTGAGCTAATGTGAGTCAACACACAGCATGTTCCCTTCACTTTCAGACTCAAGTAATACTTTTAGTTTTATGGCTAGCAGTTGACAAATAAAATACACCTCCTGACAGATATGTTCCATATCGTGACTCGTTCGCTCCCTGTGTACGTTTCTATAGCACTGAGTGCCCACTGATATGTCACACTGTACACCTTTAACAAAAAAGCTACAAAATTTTAATCACACAATCTTTTGGAGGGGACAGAGGGGTTAATGGCAGCTGGTATTTTTCGGGTTGCATTACTGCCCCTGCTGGTGAAGATTTTCCCTCGGAACAACTCGTACGCCAAGGGAATGACAAACTACTGTATAAACACAGCAAATAGTTTTTTAAGAAAAATATTTGCAGATTCTCCCTCAATATTGGGAAGATGTTATTATCAAATGTCCAACTTCTTCCTCAAAGCCACGCGCTTTGAGGAAGGCAGTGAGCAAACTGCAAATCTTAAAACAGCAGCTTATTAACCAGGGGGTGGGAGGATCGCCGTTGGGCAAACGTACAAACTGTTGTTGAGGTATTTTTACTTCTTTTATTAATCGCAGTTTTTTTCAAACTATTTTTTATTTTACTTGCGTCCCGCCCTCAGCTAAAGTGCTTTGAGATTAGAGCCCAGCTTAATAAGGGGCAAACTTTTGTCGCTCAGATTTTTTGACTCCAGACGTTGGCATTTTCGCCGTGTAAGGCGACAAACCCTGAGCGAGGCTGGAAGCAGCAGCAGGATGGACGGCCAGGACAGGGAGAGTTTTCATGCCAAGCAGGCTGGAAATGGGTACAGCATAGTGTGGGGTTTGGATGGTTGGTAAGGTGGAAGGTGAGTGGACGTTAATGGTGGTCTGGGCTGGGTTTGAGGCCGCCAGGACAGCCATAGAGGTAGCAGCAGAGGAGGCGGCAGAAGTGGCCTGAGAGAAGCTCATGTTCAGATCGACTGGGGTCGCTGAGGAAGCAGCCTGCAAGGTGAGTTTAGCCATCTCTAAGCTGCGAGGTTTGATAGGCAAGGTGATGAGAATCGGGAGAGAGTTGTGAGAAACAGAAAGGACGAGAACGGAGGTGAGAGGAAGAGAGGGAAACAAAACATAAGAATCAAAGAAGGAATGTGTGTGTTAAAAAGCAGAGACAATGAGGATTTTAAAGGCAGTCAGAAGAACAGAGCAGTGAGCTGGAACAAATCCAGCCTCTCCCTCAGCTCAAAAGCTCTGCCCTCGTATAAACACATGCCATCAAGGTCTTTTATCATCAGCTGCTGATGTGACTCTGACCAAGTTTTTGTGATGTCTTACCTGGCGCTGATGAGGTACTGGGCCACACTGATACTGGCCGGAGAGCCCGTGATCGTGACTTGGCGCATGGAGGAGCCATCAGTGGCACTGGCAATTTTGATGTGAGCTCCAGAGACTTGGCGGATCTCATTGATCTTGCTGCCTTGTCTTCCAATTATGCAGCCAATAAGCTAGAGGGGGGGGGGGGGGAGAGAGGGGGGAATAACGAAAGAGATCTGATTTCCCTGATTCTCAGAGGTTGGCTATAAAACAGAAATACTTGAGAGTAGCCAACAAAATATCAAGGTGTCCTTCTTGATTTACAGTGAAGAACCTGCTCTAAGATTATAACTACTCTGGAAGGAGGATAAAACCCATCAAACTGAAACATTTCATTATATTCTGTCACCGCAGATACATCTAACATGTGGTCCTGGGTCCAGTCATGGCACTTGGACAGACTGTGTGAAGCCACAACCTTATTTTTGCTATTGGACTGGCATTAAATTTGACTTAACGCCTTGATATTTTGGCTGTTGCTAATTAGCTTTTGGCTAACCGGAGATTCAGTTTCTTGTCACTAGTCACTATAAAGTCAAATTGCCTGCTTTTAGCTTGTACTCCATGACCGTTAGCTACGTTGTATTTTTGCTTTCTGTTAGCTGTAAGCTATGTCTTTTTTGTCTTTTGATTTAAGATATTAAGAAGAGGTTTTATCTATCTGTTGTTTGTTAGTTGTTTTTTATTTTAGGGGTACAACTGGAAATGGTTAAAAGACAGTTCTGTTGTTAACAGCAGCAGGTGTTTTATAACTGCTTTCTACCTTACTTTTAGGAATCCTTACTGTTCCTGACCTTCAGATTCCTGAATAAAATCACAATCTACTGGAAGAGCTTTAAAAAAAACTGTTGATCAGGTTGGCTTTGGGTTTAATCACATTAGTGGTTTCACAAAATGACTTGTCGTGCACTACGTACACTTCTACACCACTTCATTATAAATCCAGGTAACAAAGGAGAAGCAGTTTGCCCTCAATTATTAAATCTTGCTCTCCCCACAGAATGTTGGGAAACCTCTGTGGTTTAGAAGGTGAATGGAAATGAATTAACAAAAAAGCAAGCGCTCAGACCCTTTTTCCTCTGTTTTAACCTGTTTTACTATTTCAATTATGAATTATTTTCCAAAGAAAAAACAAAGTTAGAAACAATACACACAACGTTGGCTCTTTATTACTCCTTGGTTTGAGGTATTTGGACCAACAGCTCCTGGATCCATACTTTCTACAGCGCTGTGAGAGCGGTGTCAAAGGTCGTCCAGTGTGTTTCTGTACAGTACGCTGCTGTAAGAGTAAGGAACTGCTTGGGTCTGCTTTTTCATTTAAAGGCTACCACTGAGGTGTTGTAGCAAAACAATTGGTGGATGGAGTGTACGTGCATTGACCTGTGATCGCCAAAAAGTAACAATGGTCCTAATTTACTCTGCTGCTACAAAAGTGTTCAGGTCTGCAGTGCAGGATGGTCTTGGGTGTGAATTGAGTGCTGGGAGAACACAAAGGTAGCACTTACATCATTAGGTATCGCCAGCTCTTGTGAACTTGTTGGGGCAGATGCTTCCAATCCTGCAAAGCAGAACGAGACGCGTTAACAACAGAAGGACGCTAATGGCCTTTTGCTAATGTGTCCTACTTTGTCTAGTTTTTTACACACAGCTACACGAGAAGCAGGACACGGCACATTCAACAACAATAGTCTAGGTCTAACAATTTCAGAAAAAAATATCAAATTTATCAGCCATGGTTGTAAGTTTAATTCCGTCTTGTTTTGGTCATAGTTAGTTGTTGCTGTTGATGAGTGTGTGGGATGGTTGAGGACAGGGATGGTCCGGGCCAAGACGTGTTAGATTTTTGGGAACAAATGTTGCACAGGTGAAGGATGGGGTCGAGACAGCGGGATTCATCACTTCACTTTTTGACAATGGAAACCACATTTCAAAACAATAAGGGAGACGATGGGGGAGAGGTGAACAAAGTTAAGAAGAAAATTGGTAACTGGTTTTAAATTGTTGTCTATTGTTGAATAATACAGCTGTTCTTTAAGAACCAAGTATGGTTAGGAAACTCCATTCACTTTCTATACTGAAACAAAAGTTAGTAAACCAGAGGCTGCCAAACGTTTTTTAGAGCGCCCTGCTTTTGTAGATATGGCTGTTGTCCAGCCCCCCTAGTCAAATTCATTGAACTTTATTTAAACACTGTAATTCCTGCTATTCTCATTCAACAAACTGGATAAAAAAATGCTTCTCCTCACCGTCTGGCACTATTTTACAACTGCGTCCAGTTTAAATTTGCTACTTCAGTGGTGAATTCTGTTAATTGTTTTATGCTGTACTGTATGTAAATAGGCGTAATAAAGAAAATATTTTAGACTAATTCAGTATCTCTGAAATTATTTTATGTCTTTATCCAAATATAATGGTTTTTTATTATTATTTAAACTAGTGTTTAGAAATGCTGTTAATAATCCAGTCCGTACTTGGGAAAGTTTTTCAATTTCTATTTGGGGCTCAGCTTTATTCTAAACTAACATTCTTCTTCCCTTTGAGATTTTTTTCTTTAACTAACTGTTGACAGGAGCCACATTTGCTGGCCCAGACTTCACTGCTGATAAGAAATAAACGCTAGTATCAGTGACAAAGACATCAGGTCTTGTTTTGAAATGTGTCAGTCAATCCATAGCAATGTTCACCTGGGAAATACATGTTTGGAAATAGTCTGGAAAACTGAATAGAGCCGCACTTGATCCTGTGTTGGGTGACAAGGTTGTTTGATGGTGCGATTTAAGAGGAGTGAAGACAGAAAGAGGGAGAGATGGACTTCCCTTGGGAGCCGTGGGTACGTACCAGGGAAGGTAGGGTTGCTCTGCCCAAGGGAAGGGAGGGGGATATGCTGCATAGCCAACTGGTGAAGCTTGGTCAACTGCAGGGTAGGAAGGAAGTTAGATCTAACCAATCAAATTGGATTATTCCAGAGGAGCTGAAAACTACAACATCTGAAGTTTACAAACATTACAGATGGTGTTAATGTGAAAAGATTCATGTTTGTCAGATAGCATGCTGGCGTATCCATCTGGAAATAAGTCACATATTTAGCTACAAAATATTAAGATGGATCATTAAGTCTAGAGTTAGTAAAGTGAACAGATCAGAGTTACAGATTTTTCATTTCTGCAGAGAGCAACACACAGAGGCCGTGGTGGTGGTTTTGAAGGACAGGGGCAGAGGAGGTCATTAGGGCAGATAGCATTCTCTTACATGAGCGTACTTACATCTTGATGTGCAAATGCATACTGCCCTGGAAATGCAAAGGCCTGGGGGGAAAAAAGAATAGTCACATAATGTTGTTATGTGACTGAGAAGTGCAGACATGTTTAAACCTGTCAGAGGAAATGTGAATTTGATGCAGTGTATGACTGAGTGCATCAGTTGCATTTCTGAAAGTCCATCCCTGCCCTCTTTTCCGTAGCTCTAATGTGTATAGATTTTATGGAATTTCATCTAAATGTCATCTGCTGTCCCTGACCAAACTGCCTTTGACTGCAGCCAGAAATCCAATAACATAAACAGATGTCTGATAGGTCAGAGGAGCTGTGCCAAATTCAGGACAGCAGCCATCCAGCACTTGGAAAACGTGCGTCTGAGTCACGACATCATTCAGATTTCACTGGGAAGGGCAATAACAATGAGTGTAAAAGGCTTCTGTTCTCATCGCTGACACGTAGCGGCCTGGCCTGATACGCTCTAAATTAAGACCATTATCGTGTCTTTGTGCATAGAGAATTTCATATAATATCAGGTGACCTTTGTATTGTTGTAAAATTACACATATTCATCCTTTTCATCCAACAAGGCAGGGGATTGGAAATGGTTGTGTTATGTTTGATTTTTTTTTTCTTTTAGGAAAGTGATGAAAATCACAGCTAAAAGCACATCATTTGGTATTTACTTGAGCAGAATGCTGTGGCGCTAAAACTGCATGGGCTCCTGCAGGTATGGCTTTAGGACGGTAGGGAATAGTAGCTCCTTTGGGTGGAGACTGGAGAAACAAAGAGGAAACAAACACATTTGGTAATGATGCTTTCAAAAGGACTTTTTAAAAATGGATCAAATTAGAAGCTATTGTTGAATAATACATTCATGAATATAACAAAGAGGAGAATATATACGCTGGCACATGGAACCGCAAACTAATCGCTGGAATAGTGCTTGGTGTTTGCTAACTTGAGAGGACTCTAATCTAAGTCCAAAACTGAATTATTACCCAGTAATCCAAACTTAATGAAGGCTCAAATAAAACGGCTTTTTCAAATTAAAAAATACCCGTACGATTTTCAGACCTCTTTTTAAAAAGTAATTGTAATAAAAACAGTTCTATCCACTGAAATTTACAAATAAATACTTTAGTTTAAATGTGTTTTTGCTAAAAGTTAGGAAAACACATTAAAACTCTACTGTAACTTTACGAGTCACCGATTTATTTCATAGTTAATTCAGTATATTAAACAGTGACTCGCAATTTGAAAAATCAAATCAAAAGTGAGCATTAGCCAAACAGCTGCGAGATGACCATAAGACAAAATCAATATATATTCTACCTTAGGAATTCAGATAAAATAAAAATGAACAAACTGTTTTCGCTTTTATTTTCTAATTTATTCATCCTAGAAAGAGGTGGAAAATATCCACCTCATATTGGCCTCAAGTTGACAAATATTTAGCTACAATGTGACAAAAAGTTTGTCCTCTAGGAGCTTAAAAAATTGCTTCACATATTTTGATAATAAGTTAAAGTAAACCAGACTGGATGGATGGGTGGAGATAGATAGATAGATAGATAGATAGACAGTTAGATAGATAGATAGATAGATAGAGAGAGAGATAGATAGATAGATAGGTAGATAGACAGATAGATAGACAGATAGAGAGATAGATAGATAGAGAGATAGACAGATAGATAGATAGACAGATAGATAGACAGATAGAGAGATAGATAGATAGAGAGATAGACAGATAGATAGATAGACAGATAGATAGACAGATAGAGAGATAGATAGATAGAGAGATAGAGAGATAGATAGATAGATAGGTAGACAGATAGATAGATAGATAGAGAGAGAGATAGATAGATAGATAGAGAGATAGAGAGAGAGATAGATAGATAGATAGAGAGATAGAGAGAGAGATAGATAGATAGATAGGTAGATAGACAGATAGATAGACAGATAGAGAGATAGATAGATAGATAGGTAGATAGACAGATAGATAGACAGATAGAGAGATAGATAGATAGACAGATAGATAGACAGATAGATAGACAGATAGATAGAGAGATAGATAGATAGAGAGATAGAGAGATAGATAGATAGACAGATAGATAGATAGATAGGTAGATAGACAGATAGATAGACAGATAGAGAGATAGATAGATAGACAGATAGATAGATAGATAAAGATAACCTCCAGACAAAGCCATAGAAATAGCATAAAGTTAGGAGAAAGACATTTTCATTTTGTTTGTAAAAATTGCCTTGGAAAAGCTCCAAACCCTTTCCTTCAGTTTATGAGCCTTGCTCAGAGTGAGGGTGGACGTGCTCCTGAGTGCCTTTGACCACAGATTAGAAACGGAGCCACGTGACACTGAAATAGAGCTGTTGGAGCTGGAGATGATCAGCTGTGTGACAGTGCTTACCTCCAGCATGACAGAGCAGATGTGCCTCACACACTGAGTGATGGCCTGGGGAGTGCCGGAGATGGTGACAGCCCTCTCTGTGGAGTCTGGCAGCATGTCTCCTGCCACCTGAACCTGAGCGCCCGTGGTCTTGACGTCGTCACGCAACGGGACAACACAAAGTCTTTTATAGCAGGAAAAAGCACATCCATCTCCCACATTGAAATACTGTTTCAAGCATGGCTGAGTCATGCCCACCTATTCTGACACACAAGGACCAGCTGCAGGACCAGGCAGCATGGCCTACTCTAGAATTTGCACAAATATTGTCTCTTCACAATTAATCTACAGCCTCCCCTCCTAAACTGACAAGTGTGATTACAGGGAGCTTTCATAAGCAGCGTTGGGAAATTGACACAGTGTTGTGAGATGAGAGACAAACTTGACTGGAGGGTTTCATGTTTGAGGTGTGAGAGGGTGGTGGGGTGCTGGAGGTGGAGGTGTTCTGTGAAGAAAACAACTTCCTGATTGAAAGTACCTCTCTGATCTCTTTGATCTTTGAGCCTCCTTTGCCAATCAGGGAGCCGCACTGACTCCCAGGGAAAACCAGACGCAGTGTCACGGGTGGTTTGCTTGTCACGTTGCTGTTAGTCATTGCTGCTGCAATGTCCTGGGGCACAATTCAAAAAAATATGTTATTCCAATGTCAACTCTCCTGGACGAGGGTGTGTGTGTTTTCCTGCAGACCCTGACAGGTGCTTTCACAGGCTTCTAAACACCAAACAAGGTTTTTAGAAAAATGTTCCTAGACTTACCTCAAAGTTAGAATAATTGTTAATAATAACTAAGAGTAAATTCGTTTTTTGGGCCATCAAAATGAACCCATCTATCTATCTATCTATCTGTCTATCTATCTGCCTGTCTCACTGTCTATCTGTCTGTCTGCCTGTCTGTCTGTCTGCCTGTCTGTCTGTCTGTCTGTCCGTCCGTCCGTCCATCCATCCACCCACCCCTTCATCCATACATCCATGCATCCATCCATCCATACATACATCCATCCATGCATCCATCCATCCATCCATACATACATCCATCCATGCATCCAACCATCCATCTATCTATCTATCTGTCTATCTATCTGTCTATCTATCTATATGTCTATCTATCTGTCTGTCTATCTATCTATCTCTCTATCTATCTATCTGTCTATCTGTCTGTCTGTCTGTCCGTCCGTCCGTCCATCCATCTCTGTATGTTCCAGTAATATCCAGAGGGGGTTGAAACAGTTTTTGTTATTTTTCCCTTTGTCGATTAATCTTAAATTATAATGACTAATCATGAATATGTTACAATTGAAATTAATCATGATTAATCATGAATAACTGACAGCTACATTGTGTATAATCTAATTAAAATTGTTGGACGATTGACAGCCCTTTGTACATTTTCATCTACCATATTTGTTTGTTTAGTTCGGTTTGTTTTCAGCTACACTGTACAGATAAAAGTCTCTGTTTTACACACACACACACTATTTTATTTTCTCCTTTAGTTGTCGCTGCTTCTACTTACAGTTTTATTCACAGTAAATCTATACTTGTGTGACCGTGTACCTCTTCAAACTTGTCTGCGATCATGGAAAAAGCCCTGAAGATGCTTTCTGTAGGTCCCGTGATGGTGACTATCCTCTCAGGAGATGATCCCTCTGATATGTTAATGCGAGCCCCACTCTGTGCCAAAACAAATCAAAAATCAGCCTTTAATTAATCTCAGGAAACACGTGTGTGTACGACAATGCAGTGTTGATGTGACATTTAACCCTCACCTCTTCCCTCATTTTCTTCACTGTCTCTCCTTTCTATAACCGCATTAGAAACGGAAAAACAAACAGTTTAATGAACACAAGTCAAGAAAGGATGAAAAAAAAACAGTGTAAACTATTGAAATGCTGACAGAAAGAAAAATAAACCCACCTTCCCAATTATGCTGCCAACTTCCTGTGAAGAAAAAACAGGTGTACACACATTTACAACAGAAGGTAATTCTTTTAACTGTGATGACATGCTATTACTACACCATTAGGCCTCAGAATACTCGTTTTTGTTTCCAGTGTCCATTACCTTCCCATGCATAAGCAGTCTCAGCGTCAGTGTTACATTCAGACTCCCATCCAGGGCCATTTCTTCCTTGTCAGACATTTTCTGTGTTATTCAAGCTTTTAAGAAGACACTCTGGAAAATCAAACAAGAGAGAAAATCAGTCTGAGACATTTCCTGTCCGATGGTTTGGCGCAATATGTCTGAGCTCTAAGGGCTAAGACGTGAGTCACTGAGTGATTCACAGTCAATGTTTTAATCGTGCACAGAGCAGACACTATGGTATTAACTGCTTTTATGGCAATTTTGTTGTCTTGTTTTAATACACGACACACACGTCACTGTCTTACTGTCAACTGTGAAACAGCGTCTTTGTTTCAGCACTAACGGCAATAGAACTGGTTAGAGCAGCGTGGTTGGACGGTGGTTAGTGTGCTGTCAGTGGTTCCCCAAGCAAGGGGCGGGCTCTCCACATGGGCACAGAGGTCTTGTAGGGGTCACGGCAAGATAAAAGAATTCCATTTTGAATATTTTCTTTTTTGTGCCGCTGCAGGGACATTTCACTGATTTGTAACTGAAGTTGTTTTCTTCAACCAGAACAACAGTTACGGTGTTTTTCAATACATTTTAGTCGTGTTTCGAAGCAATAGTTTTGACTCTGTCGAAGTGGGTGACTTGACGATAGTCCTGTCTACAAAAAGAGGTACTGCAGATAAAGTTTGAGAACCACTGCCTTACAGCAAGATTCCTGATTTAATCCCAGGTGGCAACTGCTGGTCTTTTTGTACAGAGTTTGGATTTTTATTATAAATTATAAAAACAAAATCGTGGTGTGAATGTTAATGTGAATCTGTCTGCCTCTACATGTTGCCTTGTTGGTGCACTGGTGGGGGGTCCAGGGTGCAGCCCGCCCTTACCTGATAACTGATGGGATTGGCTCTAGCTCCCCCTACTGTACATGACAAATAAATAGACAAATGATGACATGATCTGGTTTTACTTGATGGTGACATGGTGAAGCCCCAGTAAGAGACCAGAATGCTAGTTTTAGAAGTAGAAGCCATGTATAGATGAAAATACCCAGAAAACTTCTTTTTTTTTCAATCTTACAATGGGCAGGATTTATTAATATTTATTGAAATTATAAGGAAAATAAATATTAAAATACACTGGACTTTCTATTATTGTCGCACTGTAATTGTTCCCTGTCCTCATGCTCCAGCTGTCAATCATATGTCAATTCCAATCCCATCCTACTCTGTCAGCTAATATTTTCCATCCTAAAGTATAGAACAACTAGATCTAATAAATCAAAATAAGTACCACTGTGTTTTAAACAGAACTCCCTGTTCTGTGTATAATTGTACCCTGTTGTTTTATCGTTTAATAATAATCCATTTAACAATGCACGTCCAGTGAAACAAAGGCTTTTTTGAGTGACATAAATATGTTTCATAATACTATCTCCTGGACTACAACCCCCAAAGAGGGACAAACTACTGCAAAAAAAAAAAAAAACTCCACAAAATTGTCAGTTCTGGATCAAAATGCCAGCTTCAGTAGGAGTGAATGAGCACTGGCCTGACACACAATTCTTTTTAGTAACAATAGAACTAGTGCAGTGCTTTATTATAGCAGAAATACATTGTGAGTCTGTGTGGATACAGGATGTAGACAGTATGACCCAGGCCTGGGGCCATCCAGTGTGGCAGCAGCACTGGGTAAATAAATATACTATCCGACCAAATAATCACCGTTCACTTCATCTCTCCTGTCTGGACTTGTCAGAATGTCTGGTTTGCAAAAGACCCTTGTTTTAACTTACATCACACTCACGGACTCACACTCACGGACTCACACTCCAGTCTCTTGTCTGAATGTGACACGTATAATTTCAGACAGTTTTTTTTATTTGCACAGCAATTTTTGCAGGAGGAAGATAGAAAAAGGGAAAAACTTTAATTAACCTTCTGTAAGTTTCCTGGTGTTTTGTCTGCATCTACAGAAACACTGCTATTGGGAGACCAATACCTGAGAATTATTGGGGAACTGTTTATCACTGAGGGGATGTGAACCTTTTGTACAGTCCAGAGCAGAGAAAGATAAGACTATCACCAAGTGCAATCTTCAGTCTTTAGTTCTGGCTACAAACAACGTGTGTGACTCCCTCTGACCAGATAAGAAATAAAGGAAGCCTCTTGTGTCATGAGGATCAAGCGAAGCCCATGTGACCGTCTCTCTTTACATCACCGTGACACTGCACAATGTTGGCTCTGTTCTGGCTGCAAATTCAATCTATTTCATTTGCAGAATAAATGAGGTATGCGGTTTGATGCGGCGTCAGCAGTTTATGGCATCAAAACAGAGAGGAGAAAGAATTTTGAACGAAGTCAAGACTGTCCTGAGAATGTGTCTCCTTCTGTTGTTTGCATGTATTTAATGGTGTGAAAAGGTTGGGTTTGGAACAAACACAAACAAAGGGATTTTTGATGCTGACACGACTTCTTAATGAGAACTGTCAGATGTTTTTTCTAATGATTGGTGAATAATTGCTGTACTGAACACCTCAAACAAGTCACTGGGTTCATGCACGATAATTGTGTTTATGGACACAGTAGGTGTGAAAAAAGGAGGGACGTATCATCAGGTGTTTTTAGTTTAGGTCCAATCCATGGTCAAGAAGGAAAGTTTCAGCAGTTTCTCTGAATTGTTTATTATTAACTTTAAAGCCATTGTGTCAACTGTTTTTACACACTTTCTTGCTAGTGAATTTGTATATTATTATAATTTTCTTGTCACATTTCCCTTTTTCTTTTCTAAAATGACAAATTGTTTTTGTTTTGTTTAAGTTTTTTCTTTTCTTTGTAATTATTGCTTAGTTTTAACAGTTTCTGAGTCGACAACAATTATAATTAACAATTTTTTTTATTACATTTGAGTTAGATTAAACTTTGTTGATCCCACAAAATGACAGAGATTGAATAGGATCTAGAGTGGATGAAAGACGTGATAAAGACAAAATCTTTTCAAACTGAAAAATAGCCTCAAAATAAAGAAATAAATATATAACACAAATATACAAATACAGGAATACCACGAACCATGAAAAAATGTACCTTTCATATGTGACAACAGAAAAATATCCAACATGTTACACACCTAAGTAACTTCAGATTAGTTTTTTTCCACTGTTGATGAATTTGTATTTTCGTTTGTATTTCTGGTCTGTTTGAAACTGGTTTAAAACAAGAGGCTTAGATTTAATTGTGTGCCAAAATGAACGACAGCATTTTTACTTAATTATAGTCTCAGTGTAACTGCACCGTGAGGTATTTCTTTCATTACTGAATGTGCTCCCCTCCAGACAAACGTTTGGAAACCCTGAGAGCCAACATACTGGGGGTAATAAACATCGTGACCTAGCAGTGGGTTAGACAAAGGACATTACTCTCATTCTGCATCTAAAATATATTACTGCAAAAAGTAAATGCTATTTTCCTCCGTCTGGTACAAAAGTCTGTAACTCAGCTAAATATTTTATAGACAGGTGAGGGAGCAGGATCTGTTCTCCTCTCTAATAATCTCAGTGAGGAGCCTGAAGAGTCTGTTTCCCAGAGTGTTTATCGCAGGCTTTGACCTCCATGTAGAGGCCGGCACAGGCGCTCACACGGTCTGACAAATGCCAAATTTTCTGAGGCCCTTCCTCGCCTAATCAATCAATCCATAAATGAATAAACAAATAAATAAATGAATGAATATTTTATTCATTCATGTATTCATTGATCTATAAGCCTCAGGCAGTAGTTGGCCTCACAAAGTCACATATGTAACATATTATAATATTGTGGCCATGGCATAAAAAAACAAACAAATAAAATGATTGATGTTTTCTTTATGCAGACAATACTCTGTGTGTGTCATTGTGATAAAGTTAGTGGGAATCCATCAAATAAACAGCAGCATATCTGTCTAATCCTATGGGCTGGGATTTGTTTAGTTAATGCTTAAAACCCTTTTGACCCATTTCTGTCATCTGTAGCACGTCAGCGCCCACTCAAGACTCTCAAAACAAAACACTGGTGCAAAACAGCACCCACACAGTGCACATAATACAATAAAAGAAGCCAGAAGCCACGGTATTTAATACAGACAGGTGTTTCTCAAACAGTGAGAATTAAGAGAGAGCATTAATCCATATGGGAATCAGAGTTTGGAAATATATTCGCAGTTAAAGCCTAAACTTCACTGTTGAGAGATCTATAATGAAATGTCTAAAATAAGAAGAATAGTACTTTTAATTAGGCAAAGTATTCTGGCCACGTGACCCTTCGCCAAGACTACACATAATGTCTACCTCACAAAAATAAAAACAATTGTTCTTTTTGAAGATCTTCACCAAAATCTAATGATACACAACAGAAAAGAAAAAAACAAACAAAATCATAACCTCAACATCAAAAGGTGGTGAAGTGTTCTTTTTGTTAAAACTCCTAAAACACCTCTTTTATTATATAAAATGTGTCAAATGTGTCTTCATTCTAATGAAACGTTACATAAAAGGTTCTTTTCAAGCTGCCACATATTGGATTAAGCCAACGAGGCCTTACGGCATGATATTTTTCACCACAGCAGTTACTGTACAGTTACGGCCGTCACATGACTGCTTCACTGTGATATGGATGACCTTTTGAGTGAACCATTTTTTAAAGCTAGATTTTCACAAAACACACTTGCTGAAGACAGAAGTGTAGGGGAAAAAGACAACTAGATGATCTGAGTCTAATGGGAGTCAGGAGCAGCGTATTAGAACAAAGCCTCGTGTTCTTCAGTCGCCTTTCTACACAGCCAACTAGAAATGGAAGCTTCACTTCAAACATACTCTTCCACTTGTCTGTCTCTGGCTGTACTCCCACCACTACTGAAGTCCAGAACCAGACTGTGTCCAGTTCCACTCTCCTCAGTGGGCAGAGGGAAAGGCCTGTAGTAGAGTATCAAACACTCACCTTACGTGCAGAGTATCTGCTCCTCTTCTTCTTCTTCTTCTTTTCTTATCTCCAAATTGAATGTTGATTCTCTCTGTAGTCCGTCATCAACGTTGTCCCCTGTGATGATCATCCACAGAGTGGACAGATGGCTCTCTGTGCCCTCAGACCGGCTGGAGCGGATGCTGGCTTTGCGTTTAGTCCTTCAGCTTAGCCCACGATAAGCCCCTACGCAGGGCAAGTGAGCCCACATCGCTTGCCTAATTCTCCCCGTCACAGCCACCAATGAGGCGTTCCTCTGCATGGAGATCCTTGAGTGGAGGAGGCCCGAGGGCAGGGCAATGAGGTTCTTTGGCTGGACAATGTCCAGTATACAGTTATGGCCACTACCACCACACACACACAAACACACCAATATTGAAGTCTCTCCTTTTGCAGTCTTCAAAAACACATAGAGAAAGAGAAGAGAAGCTTTGTGCAACAAGGTTGCTCTGTGTCTAACAGCTCCACATGACTGCTGTGTTCTTCATTAGATTTCCACACAGCTTCTTGTCTGCAACCAGGATTGTTTTTCTCTAAAAATACATCTCCCCGTATGAAATCATTGCCTTGCGGAGGCAACAGGACTAATTGAGTGTTGTAAAGGACAATGTGGCATTTGAGTTATTTAGTGATGTTAAGCACAATGTCTTCGTGGGGTGCTCCTCTGTCCTCCGCCCTCCCCCAACACCAAGCCCTTCTGCCCCAGTAATGAGGCCATGCTGGATACAATGCAGCCCTTCTGCAGCGAAAAAAAAATGCATTCAGCCGAGCTTCAAAATGTGAAGGAAATGAATCAGTGAAGCATAAGTGGCATATTTAATTACTATTCAGTGCATTGCACAGAGACAATGACGGCTGCTGTGAGCCTCGTGGTCGTCTATCAGACATCTAAGCAGGCCATATTACATTTGCTTCTCAACTAAGATTTCAATTAAACTTCCAAATTATTTCTGTGATTAAAAAGATTCAATGACTTCCTGGAAAGAAAAAGGGAAGATGGCGATAAATAAGTTCTACAAAGTTGTGGTTTGAATTAGGTCGGGTGTGACCTTATTGACTTGTCAGGTGACCAAGTTTGTGACAGTCACCTCTTTCTCTTCAGGGCTCACGCCATAATCAAGCATTTCATGGCCGTCAGTCATGACTAATTTCATCTCCTTCATGTGTGAGAACAAGATTAGGAAGGATTACACATGAAATGGGATTACACATGAGTGATTACTGAGATGTGTGGGTGTGGTCAGTTACTGTCCAGACAGCAGGAAGGATCTTAAATAACGATATGTATAAATGTATAAATGTATAAATATACATATCATATATGGACATGTATACACAGTATGCATATACATACATGCATGTATATATGTATTTGTAGATACTTTCTATCTTAGTATTAAAAAACAATCACAAAATGGCCAACAGACTTCAAAGATGGCAGTGTTGCAACTTAAAGGATGTTGACTGCCAGTAAAGTCAGATGAAGAAGAAATGAATCATAGGGAAGAAAACAGGATTGGCCCACAGGAAACTGACTATTATAGGTTCATTTTGTATGATTGGTAAAACACATTTGCAGCTGGTGTTTTAAAATAAAGCAGACATAAAGTTTCACACTGACCAGTGGGCACTCAGCATTGTAATACCCAGCAGGGGGCGTGCCATCTTGGCCTGTTCTGCTAGATGTGCTGTCATCTTAGTTACTATGGTAATATCTAAAGAACACAAACCCAAAAACTGTTGATTTTGAAGAAGGTTGTTATTCAGCTGACAGAGTTATAGTAGGAAAAGTTTTGTATAAAACAAAACAATTTTGTCTCTGATTATGTCTCTGGATGAATCTCAGACAAGTCTGTTGATTGGTTTGCCAAGTAATCTACATTAAAGTGAAAACTACTTGTGGAGTCTGTTCCACATAATTAGGCTTAATTCAATATGAGGAGACAGAAAGAGTTTTCGGAAGATGAAAATGCGAACCAGTACCTCTGACAAAAAATAAACGATGTTTATTTCCTAATCTTAAAGAAACACTGTGCAAACTTTAGCACCATCTAGTGATCTTAACCACAGGCCAAACATATAGAAGAATATCTCTAAAATAATTTTAAACAAATAATTTCTCTTACATTTTACAGTACAGAATTCATTTCTGTTTGTTTGTTTGTTTTTTGTTTTTGTTGTTTGTTTGTTTGTTTTTGTTTGTTTTTTGTTTGGGGTTTTTTTTTTTGTTTGTTTGTTTTGCAGTGAGCTACAGAGTATCCACTACAAAAATCATCTTAGTTCACATGGCCGTATTTAAAAATGTTTTTATATTGTCACCTTATTCAAAGACCTCATTTTTCGCTTTTCAAAAAATAAAACAATTTTGCACAGAAATGAATAGAGTTAATTGAATGACGCGAAACTGTCTTTCGTCCAATGTTTTTTGAAACACTTGAACGCAACTACTTCCAACTACAGTACGCGTACTCAAGACGTGAAGTATGACGATAGTTAATCGTCATGGTTACTCATGGGTTTACTCATCTCGTGAGTGTGTGGGGATGCATGTCAGACGACAATAAAACGCATTGTATCACAGCAGACTGGGCCGTGTGACAGGTTGACCGTTATGTAGTTATTCATTACAGAGGTGAAAAAAACAACAGCTGGACTTTAGACGCAGCAGACTGGCACAGACCAAGCCGCGGTCGATGGATTTCCTAAAACTTTGCACTTTTGAAACTTTCCAGCAGGTGTGCCGCGACTACGGCTATGGTGGAGACTTGGAGGACGTGATGGAGCAGGAGTTCAGGCGGATTAAAGGTAATGATTGAGTTCAGTCATGGACGGGGTTGAGCAGGAGGAGAGACAGAGACGAAGAGAGCAGACTGTCTGTCTCCTGGGTGTGAAGTTGGACTTTGTCACCGCGGCAACGCAAACGAGTTGCACTCCGTCGACAGACCTTCTCTGTGGTCTTTAACTTTCCTTCTACTTGACCAATATCTCCACTATCTCTAGCTTTCTCACCAAACTTAACGTAATACTACTATTAATAGTAATAATAATAATAATTACTGTTGTTAAACCATTTCTTTTAATGATAATTTTTGTTTTAAGAAACTATGAAAGAATAGTTTCACAAAAGTTGTACTTCCGGGGCCCATAAAAATGCATTGTTTAGTTTGACTGTGTGCCATTACATAGAAAAATAAAAGGAAAACTTGAGGTTAACATCTAAAACTCAAAACAACCAACTGGCAACAATGGGCTGTTTATGTGTACAGGAAGGTCTCAGCCAAAACAAACAGCAAAAGAAAGAAAGCAGAGAAACAATGGTGGGGAATTTAAAAGTGCTGCATATTGGGTAGACTTTACAACAGATATCATAAAACAGCGATGTCAGAACAATGGGTTCCACACCTTCTGGAAATAACCTTGTGGATAACATTTGCAGTGGTGAATGTGCTCCATCTCAGCAATAAAAACATTTCACTGAGCTGACTCTAGCCACAAGGGGGAAATGGAAAGTTCCAGTTTAGCAATATTAAATTTTAGCTGTAAACATGGCTGATATGTGAGCCTGTGTTTGATAGGAACGGAAGGCCTTTGTCACAGTAAACAAATATCAGCAGGATGCAGTCTGGCTGAAAGTTAATTCCATACTGCTGTAAATATATCACAGCACAAGTTGGTCAGTACAGGGCACCGCCGCAATAAATGTGGCAATAATTTGTGTGCACCACAGCATCTATCACACACGGAAGAAATGGAGCAAAATAACAACTGCAGTTTGTTGTTGTTTTTATGAAACAGGAATAACTTACCTGGACCATGCAGCAACCACTCTGTACCCAGAGTCTGTGATCAGGAACTATGCCAACGACCTTTCAAAGAACCTATATGGTGAGAGAACTGATGTTTGTTGTTAGAATGTCTTGGTTTTTTTTAATTATTTAATTCAACCCAATGTCACACACCTGACCTCAAACATCCTGCGTTTTGCAAACCTCACTATGTTTTAGCACAAAACTGATCTTTGGTTTCCTCTTCCATCTCAAGAGCATTTTTGATGTAACAGCAGACTGTGTTGACTGTGGTCTGTTAATGTATTAACACCATTGGGTCTATGCCCTGAGGAGTACACACCTTCAGCGGCTGCTACCACCTTTAGCCTTTATATATATTTTAATATTTTACAGTATATTATTACCTCTCCATCTGAGAGTTGGTAGTGATGGTTTAAATCCACAACTGCAAATCCTGGTAAACATATCTTACCGGTACATTTTGACAGATCTAAACTCCAAATTAAATACATTGTCTCTAAACTGATAATGCTGTCAAGCTGTTCAGCCCCAAGTGGTGAGCTACAGTACAAGACGTTCTTATTGTCAAAGAAAAAAGCCGATGGTCTTTTCTCCTTTTGTACCTGATGTTTATACACAGACTTGTTATATGTTGCCTTGCTAAATTTAAAAACAAATTCTACATGTATGAAGATTTCAGATTTACTTTGTTTGTGTCCCAAGTTTTTCTGTCTAACAAATGAAATTCATTTTCTCAAGTATAACATAAGAACAAACTGTATGCATATTGTTTACTGTTTGTCCATGTTAAGTGATTTTTTTTTCTTATAGGAAATCCTCACAGCTATCACACCAGCAGCAGGTTGACACATGACACTGTGGAAACGGTCAGATACAGGTGAAGTCAACACACCAGTAACAGGCGTGTGTCAGACCTTTTAGTACCAGGTTCAGATGGGTTAACCACAGATCATTTTCTTACAGAGTATTGCAGCATTTCAATGCCAGCCCAGAGGAGTACTCTGTGATTTTCACTTCAGGTTGTACAGCCGCCCTGAAATTAGTTGCAGAGAGCTTTCCCTGGAGGCCGCAGACCGAGAGTGAAGCGGGGAGTTACTTCAGCTACCTCACCGACAGTCACACCTCTGTGGTTGGCATAAGAGGAGTGACTTCTGGCCGGGGGGTAGTTTGCCTCCCTGTCTCCCTGAAGGAGGTACGGAGTGGAGCAAAGTGTGAGCGTCAGTGTGACGATGCTGTTTGCTCAACACCGCACCTGTTCTGCTACCCAGCGCAGAGCAACTTCTGCGGGAGGAAATATCCCCTCAGCTTTGTAAAAGGCATCCAGGCAAGACAACTTTATCCAGCGTCTGACCATGAAGGCCACTGGTATGTGCTCCTTGATGCTGCCTCTCATGTCAGCAGCTCCCCGCTAAACCTACAGGAGTGTCCTGCAGACTTTATTCCCATCTCCTTCTACAAGATATTTGGCTTCCCTACAGGACTGGGGGCCCTTCTGGTCCGTAACAGTGTGGCAGGAATACTAAAAAAGACATATTTTGGTGGAGGCACAGCAGCAGCTTACCTTTCTGGAGAAGATTATTATGTGTATGCTACAAACATCTCTGACAGGTAAAGTACAGTACAGCACAAGCCTGCCAAATCCAAGATATCCTAAGAGCTCGCAGCTGCTTCCCACCTCCCGCATACGCAACATAAAATGTATTGTGTTGTTTCTGTTTAATACAGATTTGAAGATGGGACCGTCCCTTTCTTGGACATTATTGCACTAAATCACAGTTTTGATGCTCTTTACAGAATAACAGGTAGCGTTTGTTAGGACTAATTAAAGGTACAAATCTGTTAGGTATGATGAGCTTGTTTATCGTAACATAATCATGACACCTGATTTGTATTCCTTTCTCTCAGGGGGCATGCTTAACATCCAGCAGCACACCTTCGCCTTGGCACGCTACACTTACATGCTGCTGTCAAGTCTTTGCCATGGCAACGAGCAACCGGTGGCTCAGATATACACTGAAGGCCAGTTTGAGAGTCCAAGCACACAGGGAGCGATCCTCAACTTTAACCTTATGGATTCTCATGGACAAATAATTGGTTATTCCCATGTACATTGTGACACATGAGCTTTTTCTTTCTCACAGTAGTCACATTACCTCATGTTTATGCATAGGACGTGCAGGAATAATCAAACTCCTCTCTCTTGTGTTCAGGTGGACAGAATGGCAAGTTTGTACAATATTCACGTTCGCACTGGCTGCTTCTGCAACACTGGAGCCTGTCAGTTCTACCTCCAAATCACCAGTCAACAGATGAAGAGAAACCTGCAGGTGAGACCACTCTTAGGGATGAGAGACATGTCAAAAGTCTCTTTGGTTTGGGGTCAGTGAAATAAAACATTGAAACATCTCTTTTCCCACAGGCCGGCCACGTGTGTGGAGACAACATCGACCTGGTGGCAGGACGCCCAACCGGGTCTGTCCGCATCTCCTTTGGATACATGTCGACGTTTGAGGACTGTCAAAAGTTCCTGAAGTTTGTTTCGGAGGTTTTTGCAGAAAAACCAGTCAAAGTGGATGAAGTGAGACTAGAAAAATTGAAAACAACCTGGTCAGCTACAAGTGAATATTTCCATCCCAGATTTCAAATCACAGTTGAAGAGTCGTTCAAGGAAGACAAGGAGAAATCCACAGACGTGTCACTGGAAGAATTTGGAAACAGCGATCCAGAATTCCATGAGGAGTCTCGTACTCTTACTAACATCTACATATATCCAATAAAATCATGTGGCGCTTACGAGGTTTGTGCACAACACAGTCCTATCCATTTATGATTACACACAAATAAACATTGTTTTTTCCCCCCAGGTATTTATGTAATATTAAAGACAGTTAATGTATTCTGTTTGTCTGACTATAACTAGACTTTAAAAACACACGTAAACAAGTCAGCTTAACTGAAATAATTCATTTATTTATCGTCTAAACTTCAATCCTTTTCAAGGTTGTAGCCAGAGCTTGAGCCAACCCCAGCAGTCATCAGGCGGGGGCGATATGCACCCTGGGCAGTTCATCTGTCCATCATAGGATCATATATAGAGACCAATCACACTAGATATTATAATTGCAGGGCTATTACGAATGGGTTATTATAAAGATGTAACCTTGTTAAAGTGGTCACATGGGTTTATCGGTTGGTCCTTTAGGCTTTGAAAGCTTTCGCTGTTTTTAGCAGGTTTCCTTCGTATTAGTTGCTTTAATCAGGTGATATGTGTGTGTGCAATGGCTTTGAGGATTCTGAGTTGTTGGTGAAAGATAGATTGAAGCCACCAAAATCTTACAGCTTCGACTTGGAAGCAGCATAATCATCATTTGTCTTTTGGACACAACTTTGAAGATGTTTACCATCCAGTACTGTATATGTTTTATTAAAAATGTGATCTGACTTTGTTGAAGAAATTTTAAAAAATAAGTAGCAGCTAGAAACGGGAGAAACATCCATCTTTTCCATAGACCTGTTTAAACAGAGTTTATATTAAAACCAACAGCTTTTTAATCACTTCCCAAGTGCAGCCTTAACAACAGACATATTATTTTGAAACAGCCATTGTTTTCACTCTGTGGGACATACCCAGTGGAGTGGTCCTGTACATCCTTACGATGGCAGTTGATGGCGGTCCAATCAGAAGGCCCCATTGAGCTATATCTGTTGGTCAACTGAACTGTGATGTGTACATGTCCATATTTTTACTGTTCCTTGTGCAGGTGCAGGACTGGCCATTGGGGGAGCAGGGTTTACTTTACGACAGAGGCTGGATGGTGGTAAACAGAAACGGCGTGTGCCTGAGTCAGAAGAGAGAAACACGTTTATGCTTAATTCGCCCACAAGTGCATCTGCACTCAAACAAATTGCTCCTGCAGGCATCAGGTCAGACAGTCTGTCAGAGGCTCACTGAAAATAAACATGTCACAGAGAAACAACACATTTAACCTGCAGGTGAATAAGTAAATGTTGTCTTTATTTGTTTCATTTATTCCCTTTTTTATTACACTGCAGGGATGGATACCATTTCTGTTCCCCTGGAAAACAACGTCAACGCAAGCTATCGACTGTGTCAGAGCAAAGTTTGTGGTGACAGGTGAGCCAGGAATGTTAAATATCTAAATGTTTCAGCCGCAGGAAATACTACTTCACAATACGAGAGTGAGTCTAACATTTCTAAGACAGTAGAAGATTATGTAGTGAAGTGAGTTTGTTTTTTAGAACTTTTTGTCTTACTCTCTATTATCAGATGCATTAATAAATGCTTCTGACAGTAACAAGTGAAAGTCATATGATGTTGGTCACTCAAACACAAATTACATGATAAGACACTTATTTTTAAGACACATTTTTCCACTCTTGGATTAGATGTCATGACTAAGAGTAAGCAGAATTAGCTTGATTTCCCCAAGGGCCTACTAAAGATCAAGTCATCCGTCTTCTTCTTCTTTAGGGTGGAGACTCTTGACTGTGGGGATGAGGCTGCTTCGTGGCTTTCAGACTTCCTGGGACAGCCATGCCGCTTGATAAAACAAAATCCCAATTATACCCGAGACATGAAAAACAGGCCTAGTGGAGGTAAAGTGCATCCCAGTGTTTTACCTTCTCTGAATGGCCTTTTTAATTGTATTCTTCATTTATCTGATAGGGTAATGCGAGACCACGTTGCAAGTACTTGTAGTTGTGACCTTACATTTCCTCCTGCTGATTAGTAGGTTTTGAGAAGTGTCTCTTTATTTGTTTTTTTAAGCAGCTACGTTCAAGGCAAACATTTATCATGTGAAAAAAAAGGAGAATTCAGAAATGGATTAGATATGACTAATATTGTTAAATACAGGGTTTAGATAAACTGTACTAACTAGAATTACAGGATCACAAGATCACCTGTGATGCCAGCGTTGTTGAGCAACTTATGAGACAGCAAAGTTTTGTTGTTTTAAAATACCGTCTTTATGGAGTCTCCTCTACTTTCACACTAATCCTACTCACGTTCTCCTCTAAATCTGACCAACTCCTCCTCTGATACATCCATGTTGTGTACATGTTCAGAACAGCTTAACAACAGCTTGCGTGTCTAACTTCTCCATCAGACTGTCTTACTCTAATCTGTCCTCTAGTCAATCTGACCAACTTCACCACTGCGCCTCTCAGGTCAGCCTCCTGTCTTAGACGATGTGTTCATACATTGGCTGTTTGTTCACGGCACGGCCAACATTAGATGGGAAAGATCACAAAGAATTTCCAAAGTGAACCTTGGTGCTGACTTGAAAAGTGCTTCCTCTGACTATGTATGACACATTTGTTGCATTGTAGGCATGGGATTCTTAGATCAACAAAAAGAACCGACGTAATTATTTTCAAAATGTCTCAGGTTTCTTCATTTATCTTTGTCATGTGGTTTACTAATCAGCTTAAGCAGATCAACTGTGCCAAGATACACATTAAACAATAAATATACACACTCTCGTAAACAATACATCGTAGCATGTCTCACTACAGGCTGAGAAACCTATCCAACAATGCTATCTTTTGTAGTCCATCTATTCCAACCAGTCTACAGCCTGGTCTTCACTTCTTCACTCTGTCTGCTGCTTTGAATAGTGACATATATGGTTTTTTATCTCATCCACTTAACGGTATATGTATCCCCTTATGAACATTCCTATTCTACAAATATGTATATAAAGGTTAAGAGGTTAAAAACAAACAATTTAGCACACAGTAGTATACATGTATTGTATTTATCCATATGTGTGTTTATGTTTAGATATGTATGTGCGTTATACACATGTGTATCGTATGTATCACCTATATACAGTAGTTATGCATTATAGAAGTGTGAAACCTCCAGAGTGAGTCATTATTGATGTGCTGTTTTAACCAGAGATGAAAGTGTTTTTCTCTAAACAGATGACTCCTGTAATATAAAGTTTTGCTTTCCAGATGCCACCTCCACATTTCTCTCCCTGGTGAATGAAGCTCAGTATCTCATGATCAACCGCGCCAGCGTGGAGCTCATTCAGATACAGATGAGCAGCAGGTTTGGGCACAGAATATGGTACTGAGAGCATGCAGGGCTTCAGTGAAAAACACCAGGATCCGTTGACGCAGTTGCATCTATGTTACAGCGGGTTTGTAACGTAGGGCGGCGCACTAACATGTAATTTTCACATCCCCTATCTTCAGACATGGACATTTTCAGAGTGATCCGCTCCTTGACACACAGAATGTCATTAGCCGCTTCCGAGCCAATTTAGTCATCAGTGGTGTAGAACCATTTGAAGAAGATAATTGGTCACACTTGATTATTGGCAACATCCGATTCATGGTGAGCTGACATTTTGAGATAAATGTTGAAACCTCTTTTCGTGCAGCCAAAGAGTATATTTCTGAATTAAACATGTTCCCACTGTGATTTTCCTTAAGGTTACAGGTCAATGTGGAAGGTGCCAGATGGTTGGAATAGATCAGGAAAGTGGGACCAAAACAAAAGAGCCTCTAATGTCTCTGTCTGCGTACCGCCATGGGAAGGTCAGTCAAAAACAATGGGTTGCACCTTGATGTTAGCATCTTTGTGCTGTGTGTGTGGGTGTGTGTGGGCACAGATTATGCGTATGTGAAAAAAAAATCTCTTTGCCTTTGTCTGGTGTTTCTACATTTCTAGGTGACTTTTGGTGTGTACCTGACCCAGCAGCTACCAAATTGTCCCCCTGCTGCCTGTGTCCTTTCAGTTGGCTCCTTTATACAGCCAGTGCTACAGAGTCCTTGAAATGATCATCTGCAACATCTTCTTTTATCCACTTTTGTGACATCCCAGGTCCTTACCCATCATTTCTGTACAGCACATCCAAAGGATCACCTGTCAGACTGTGTGAGAAGTTTTCTTTTTTAAATTTTTTTTTTTTTTTTTATAAATTCTCTTCTGTTCTCTCTCCGTGGTGGCTTTTGTTCTCTGAAGTGTCCTTTTCATACCAGAGCATTGACGATTTTATTCTATCCCAGTCTGTTTTGATGGGAAATGTAATGAGATTTTTAGGGTTTTTTCTCTCACCTCTCATTATGATCATCTTAAAATGTGTGCAGCAACAAATGTGTAAAATATTAATTCCATGAATAAGTTGCTGCTGCCATTTGTCAAAACAAGTCAGGCTCGATGTTTTAATTTCTGTTCATGTTAACCTCCCCGTAGTCCCGCAATGCTTTCGCTCATGAAAGTTTATCTTGCTATTTATTCCAAACACAACACTGCTGTTAGTGCTGCTGGCAGAATTTGAAACAGGCCCGCCCTTCTCCCCGCTCGCCCCCCCCACCCACCCATTGGAAAAACAGACACTCTGCTGTATGTGTGCTCCAAGTGGAACTGAAATGGACATACTGTCAGTGCCAGGACAGAATGGGTAATATTTTAATGTAGAAGCAATTAGCTGGAATGATATGCTCAGGGAATTATTTGTGTACATTAAATATATGTGCTCAATTTATCTGTTAATGTCTGGCTAATTAATCTTGATATAACTATTGTACGAGCTGTGGTATAATGCACCATACGGTTTATACGCATTTTAAAGGCATGCCAAAGATAAAGTATTTTTAATAGTCCCATTGTAACAGGTAGTGACGTTGGCACAGACGTTTGATTTTCAACGGTACCAATGAAAATCAAACGACTGTGACATTTGAAGTCCCTGCATCGGATTCATGTCATTTTCACACTCAACAGCCCCCTCCTGATTCACCCTGAGTCTTTCTTCAGCATGTAACTCATTTGTACCTCCTGCTGGTGCTCACGCTGTACAGCAGTTTGTAGACCTTTGACAATAGTGGTTTCTGCAGATGTTTATGTAGGATTTAAATCTTTACCTTTAAATGCAACGCATAATATTTATAACGTACATTAAATAAGCATTCAACTGTATTACAGATCTTTCATCAAACCTGGTTTTAGAAATAGAAAATAATTTGTATCCCAAGAAATAAAATATAAATTCATAATGTTGCTTTATTATTATATTCTACTGCTGGAGTTGTTAAATTATTTTCTTTTTTGCAGGTATTTACAAAGGCTGATTGATTTTAGATCATTTCCCTTTTTGCCACTGTTTGGCATTATAAGAATAATAATAAATATACAAAGTTAACAGTACTTTTTTGTGACCATGCTTGTCTTAGTTTTAAGATATTGTCGGTCCCTGTTTACTCATGTCTCACTTCGCAATGTAGCTGTTGTAGTTCCTCTTCTGCAGACAACAGAAGAATATAATTTGCAGAAAATCTTTTTTAAAGTAGACCAGTGTGACCAGTAGCCTTATTTTCTTTGAGGTTTCCTCTAACAAAGAATTACTCCTGAGGTTTTAGCAGCTACGGTCATTTTTTTTTTCTTTTTTGTCTGTTTTAGGTTTTAAGCCATTAGTTATCTGTGTAATACTCCACTACAGCTGGCATCAGTATCTGTAGAACACAAGAAGTGCACATGAATATATCAAAAGAAGAGGGAATTAGTTGAGTTAGGTCATTTATTAAAATAGTTCTCTTTTTAGCCCTTGTTTCAGTGTTTCATTACGGGCTTGTGTATGCCCCACTGAGACATTAAAACACAGAGAGCCGGGGTTATGAGAGTGATATGAAGATAAACTGTGTACAACTTTAGATCCAATGCAATAATGCTAAAGGTCAGGGCTGTTCATTCAAACTTCCAGTAAATTTCCGAAAAGGCAAATGTCTGGAGGTGGGTCTTTTATATGCTTTACAGTATCTATGTCCTCTTGCACTCACAATATATTAGAGTTACATTATGCTGCATCCTTTTGTTTTTGTGAATTGCCTTGCTTTTTTCTACCTCTTTACAGTCTTATGGAACATTTTAACTGGTCCTTACCAGTTCCATTTCATAAAAACTCCTCCAACTTTAAGCTATTTTGCAATATATGTTGAAAGACTTTTAGTTTTTATTTCAGCGAATACACCTTTTTACATTTTTGCTTAATTTTCAGGCACTTTTGACCGAAAATATATTTCAAATCAATATTTAATTTTATTTTTTGCATATTTTAGTTTACCCTACTCTTTCCTCTACTCCATCTTTGCTAACCTTTAAAGAAATGCGGGTATTTTGTTTTATAATTGTTTTGCTTCAAATACATTCGTTCGTAGCACTCAATAACAAAGTCATCCAAAGGGGCGCTTCCTTAAAAAAGTGTAGAACCTCCTTTTCCGTTTATGCAACTGTACTTTGGTCAGAAACTCATGTTTGTGGCTGTGGAACTGTGAGTGTGGAATTTATTCTGAAGCTACCACCGTGTCTTTAAGCTGCTTTTTAAAACTATAATAAGTGCGCCATGAAGAGGAGGATCGTCAAACATAGTGACTCAACGTCTTCCGGGGTAGAAGCAGCTCAGAGGAGGAGAGTTCAGCAGCAGGAGAAAGGATCAGCGTGAGTTAGTTGGTTAAACTGAACCAAACACTGCTTTGTTGTGACGAGGAACCTGGTTAGAAACAAACATGATTAAAGTTCAATACCTTATCTCTCCGATCTGTTTTGCAATGTCAACGTCGAAAACTGCAGGAATCGTCGCTTTAGAGGGAATTTGCAAAAACACATCCGATTATCACAAAAAAGAAAAACAGGTCCCAATTCCGAACTATTGCAAGTGTAATAGTTTTAATATTTCGTGTTTCCATTATTTAAATAGTAAGTTGTCACTATGTTGCATGTGAGTTTTATAGATTTACATCAGTGTTTTGCAAATGAAAAACAATCTGAATTAGATTGTTAAATCTTTATAAGTGTTAAAACTATAGTTCACTATATATGTTAAAATTTTCTAATATTCTGTTGTCTATTCAAAACTTAATTATTGTACTGACAAATTTAGAAGCCATTTGGTGAATTGTTTGCAGTAATTGACGTATAAATTAACTGTGAGTTGCTGTGTTTTTGTTTTTTTGGGGGGGTGTGGGGGGGTTCTGTATTTCTTTTAAATTTTCAGTATTTTGGAAGTTTACACTGTACTTTACAAACAGAAAAAAACAAAAAGGGAAAGGTCATTCTCACATCTCTTCTTTTATCTGACCAGGACACAAACATAAACTTTTGAATAGATGATTCTTTAGTTCAAGGTTTGATCAGTTACTTGTGAAGGCATGATGGTATAAACAAAGAACCTTAGACTTGACTAAGATGTAATATTAACCATAACATTAAACTTTCCTATAAAGCTCCCTGATTCTTTATTACTTACACAAACTTTTTTAACCAGTGGGTTGTAAAAATGTGTTGTTTCTATATACAAAACATCCAGTGCTTTCTAAACAATTCCAGTGTAATAAACCAGCAGCAACATTTACTCTCATCTAAAATGACTTCATCATTTTAGACCAGTACCTTGTAATGTCTTTGCAAAACAATGTCACAACACAAATAACAAAAATACACATGCATATGAACATTTTGATTGTTTATGCTGCAAAAACCTGACAACATACTGTGCAGATACACAGGCAACGGGCAGGTGTAATCTTAAAAACTGGGCTTACTCAAATTTAAGGCATGGTGTACAAAATACCTTGGGTGGATAAGCAAAAATAAGCTCCTTCTTCTTCTGCTTCTTCTTAGAGGTAGTGGATAGGATAGAAGGTAAAATAGTTTTTTCTCCGTCATTCCCAGGCTGCTCCCTGAACCTTTGTTCTTGCGTGTATGAAAATACAGTGTCTTGTTATGCTTCTAAATAAAAGAACTAAATTGTTAGTGGAAGGCATCGTAAGCCAGAAGGTGTATAACTTTGCAGCCCATGGCTGTCAGAATCACCTTCAGATTCCAAAGTTAAGCTGAACAGTACATGTGTACAATTTTTATGAAAGGCTACACTATATCACACAAAGGTTGTACATTTATTAAAAGGCTAATGTGCACTTTAAACCTCATCTATATTACATTTAAAGTATCAAAAGAAGATTTGGAATTATTTTAAATTGAATATTCCAATATATCTTAAACAGACAAGTAGACAAACAGTTACCAGAATAAATAACCTCCTTTATGTTCCCATTTGAGCAGTGGGAAGAAATAAGTCTTGGACTAAAAGGGCTCTCCTGGTAGGATTAGTGTTAATGGAGGGGGTGGGATGTGTTACTCATTAGTTGGCAATAGTGAGAGCAACCTCCTCTTTGCTTTTGCCTCCAGGGACCCCAGACCTGACTCCAATGACTGTCTGCCCTCTTTAATAGATTATTCAATTCCTCGCTCTAATGTTCCCATATTAATCCTGCAGCCGCAGACTGGTGACTGGTGGGTGCACGGTTGTGTTCATGCCAGTGGACCTGAGTGCACATTACTATGAACATCTGCTGCAAAAGTTTTATAGTTCTGTCAATGGCAGATGCTGCCTAACGGCCAGATGAGTCTTTTTTATGTGTTTTGGCCCATGTACCTACAGATGATTCCTTTTACACCAACAGAGTTATGTGCGAAAACATCAAACAACCTTCACTTTGCTGTTGCACCTTATACCTATGAGTCATCATAAACCCGCTCCCCCAGCTTTAGTTAATGTTAAGTAGATGAGAAATGAGAAGTTGGAGAGAAACTGTCCCAACTCTGTCCAGAGATCTAGTGTCATGACCAAAGTCCATATATGAGACATACATGAGTGTTGTGATCTCAGTTGAATCCTATGCAGAGTGAAACCCCAGACAGAACCAAATGTGTTGTATTAGTTTCAGAAGTAACCTGGTTTGCTAGTAAGCTTTAGGTCCTCTGTAGACTATGACATGACAAGAGATTTGGGACAGTTGTACAGCAGATGTCAGTGAAACACTCCAAATTGACCATAGGTGTGAATGTGAGCCTGGATGGTTGTTTTGTCTCTATGTAGCCCTGCAATGGACTGCCAAACTGTATGCCCTCCACCCAAAACACACGCACACAATGACACAGCAGAGGCACAAACAGTAGAGGATGGATGGATGGATGGATGGATGGATGTTACTGACAGTGGAATCGATCAGAAGCAGCATGGTGACAGTAAACATCATTGACATCCACTCTTGCTGAAAGTCAGCTGTTGAATGGGACAATCCGACACTGAGGAAGTTGAAATGTAAAGTGCAGTTGGAACAACACACTAGAATGTGTACACATAATGTTAACCCAAGTGTGAACCTGTTAGCCTTGCAAATGAAACTGTATTATTTCAAATTTCTCAGTGTCCAATTGCTGTAGAAAATGTAGCTAAGAGCTCACTTATTCTACGTGCTGAGTCATTCTCTCACAAACCAAATGTTTACCCAAAATGCAGCCATTAGCATGTGCTGCTACTATTGACATCAGAAAATAAACATGGCCGTCATAGTAGAGACACTAAATGTACCGACAATAGATGTTAGGTTGTTAGTTTTCTTGCATGCTAACAATTTTCATTGTCATTAACTACTTAGTTTATCAGCACCGGTGCTTTGATCCAAAGTTAGTAGATTCAGAACAAAATGGCAGTGTGCACAATTTGACGTGCTTATCAAGCATAGTTGTCTGCCTTTACAACCCCCCTGAATAGTGAATAGTTTGAAGAGTTTCATACTGAAGGAACAGCATTATTTCAATCAAAGCAACCAAGTCAAGGTGTAGCTGTAACTCTACTTAACTGATCAGAGGCAAGATTAGATCTGCTTTTTTGGTTTGTTGCTTTTGTTTGTCATGTGTTTGAATCAAAGAATAGAGCTGTATATGAACAATATACATGATAAAGACTGGGCCGTCATTATGACAGTCAACGCTTCTTTAAATGTAAATACGTATATTGGCTCAGTGCTGTGATTGCAGTGACACACTTGCACCTGTACGTTAAGCTGTTCATTTAGGATGTGATTACCTAAGACAGTTCTTTTTACTCTGACTGAAGAGAACTCTTAATGACTACAGATTCTTCTAGCTCCCTCAGGTCTCAAGCTTTTGTTAGTAATCACAATGTGTCTGGTGTTAGGTCCAGATGGTGGCTGAAAAGAGGCTTATGGGCCCTGATTGTTGCCTTCATTTTTGTTCCATTCTCCCTGCGTGTTCTCCCAGAGTTCATTCAGCATTTTGCTCACACTTACAGAGGTGAGTTAAATAAACTCTACCTGCTGCTATATGGTACTGTTAACCCTGAGGCTACTTACTGACAGTTGCCTATATCTCCTCTTCCTGTTTGTAGTCCGGCTGCCGTTCTTTCTTGACCTCAGCCGACCTGCTGAGCTCTCCCTTAATCACACCATCAACATGTACTTAACATCAGAGGAAGGAATCTCCCTCGGCGTATGGTGAGTGAACGCCAAGTTCACCTAATAGAGCTCTTAAAGAACAATACTATTTTACATTAGCAAGCTAACAGTTTTAGTTGTCTAATTACCAGTTTATAGGCTGGTTTTACAGCTGTGTTTTAACTGTTGAAGGCACACAATCCCTGAAAGTCAGTGGAAGGAGGCACAAGGCAAGGACTTGGCATGGTACCAGAGCACTTTAAGCAATGGAAGGCCAGTTTTCATATATCTTCATGGGAACACAGGCACTAGGTATGATGAATAATGCATTTGTATTATTGCTGGCCCCTGTAGAAGCACAGAGACTTTCCGCACTGCTAGTTGATTTAATCTTTCTTGCCTTGAGAAACACCAACACTTGTGTTTTACCTGAATCAGGGCAGCCCCTCATCGAGTGGGAGTGGCAAAAGTGAGTGATCACCAACACCGGCATTCTAATATTTGGCTGTCCACTCTGAATATAAATGTCTCAGTTGCAGTTATGATGACAAAAATGTGTTGTTGTTTTTTTTCAACAGGTATTGAGTGCTCTTGGTCATCATGTGCTGGTACCAGACTACAGAGGTTGGAGCAAATTAAGATTTATAACCTTTTTAAAGAAAGGATTTTACTTCTTGCTACTTTTTTCCTAATTGAGTGAAACACAAATCTCTCACACAATGATTTCACATAAGTAATGGTCACTAGTGGATAGCACTGTGATGCTTGATGAGTTGCAAGGCAGTTGCATGACAGCAGTTCAACTTCAGGTCAGACTCCACAGCGTGTATCCTCTGAATGACTGCCATCATGTGGCAGAAGAAAGTATATGCAAGATATGTCGGTAAGAAAAAGCTTATCGTGAGAGCCACTGGCAGGGTTTGGAGATTCCACTGGGGAGCCGACGGAGGCAGGTTTGAACACTGATGCCCTCTATGTGTTCAACTGGGTCAAATCACGCTGTGGCAACTGCCAGGTGGTCATCTGGGGACACTCACTGGGAACTGGGTAAGCAATTACTTTAAGAGATCCAACCTGACACAAAAAACATCAAACAGAGTGAAATCACATTAACAAAGACATGTTTTTACAGTGTGGCCACCAACATTGCAGTAAAACTAATTGAGCAAGGTAGGTATTCCATGCCCTAAAATCCAAGAAATAAATGTAAAAACAAATGGTGTTTGTACAACAGGTGTTTTCCAGGTGTAGTTCTCGATGGTGTGATCTTGGAGGGGGCGTTTAATGCTGCTCCTCAGCATGAGATAGAACATCCATTTTCATGGGTAAACACATAAAACTTAAATAACTTTAAATTTGCATTTGTTAAAGATACATTTGAACTAATTCATTTTTCCTACCTATTTAAGTATTACTGGAAATTTCCAGGCATTGGATATTTGTTCCCATTGCCATGGGCAGACAACAAGCTTGCCTTTACCAGTGAAGAAAAGTAAGTTTAAATGAAGCTAAAACACTGGTTGTACACCGTTTTCAGTTCTCCAGATGATATAGTCAGAGTTACTAACTTGGAGTTTACTACTGGTAAATACAATGGTATTCCCAATGTTTCTGTTTTTACAGTTTAAAAAACATAAGAAGCCCGATACTTTTCCTTCACTCAGAGGATGATCACATAGTGCCTATTCAGAGCCCTCAAAAGGTATTCATTACAATAGGTGTATAGAAGACATGTTAACAGCTTTAACTCCTTACATTTATATTTAAAGAGAAGCATAAACTTTCTGTTTTCTCCAGATGTACGAGGTTGCGGTGAGCACGCAGAATAAGGAGCGAGTCAAGATGGTGACATTTGATGGTTCTCTGGGATATTTGCACAACGGACTGTATAGAGACCCCCAACTGCCTGATATCATAAAGTGAGACAGCAATTAATCAACACTCACATTAAATATTTCTGTGTTCTAAGAGAATCAAAAAGTTTTAAATTAATCAATATCTATTTTTTTTCTTTGTACTTGTTGTTTTATTGATGTTTTATTGTTACATGTATTTCTCATTTCTTCTCTGCAGGAATTTTGTGCAGTTACTCCAGCATCTGAGTAAAGACTGAAGCTGTAATCAAAGTTGATCCTTATGGAATATAGCACTTTAAATTGTCGGCAATGTATTATTTAATAATTAATTGTCAGAAATGTATTATATAATAATACATTGTCAGAAATTGCTTATAATGATTCCATAAATAATACATCTGGCTTTTGTTAATTGTTCTCACTCAGACCCACAGCTAATAAAGGCCATGTCAGTGAAGTTTGATCAGTTATTCTTGTTCACTACACTTGCTTAAAATGAACTTTATCTTACCTATTTGTTTCTATATTATTTCTGTAAACTAATTCATTTGGACTAAACAAAGTTAATCTAAATGTATGCTCAAATAAAACGGATAGGTTTTCCTTTTGTAATGGAAATTATCCTCGGTAGCAGGGATTCTTTACCTTTCTCAATTCATGGCCCATCTTTTCCAGTATAAAGTGACCTGGGGTCCATACAAACAATAATGCTATAATCAAATCAAATCAACTTACAGTAAAAGCCATGTCAAATAAATTACATGACATAATGACATTGTTAAAGAGACATATTTATTTATTATGAAAATTCCACCGGAACTCTTGGCTCTGTCTTGTCACCTCCAGTCACAAATTTTAATTAATAATAATACTTACACAATTTAGCTTTTTAGGTGGTGTTGGCACCACCTTATCTAAACAAGACTACTGGCAAAAGAATTTCCTTCAGCTGGTTAAAAAGTGCACTAAAGCTGTATTTTTACAAACATGCTCCTGTGGCACATTGGTTCCAAACTGAACATTTTTGAGGCCCTCTCGATTGTGGCCACACGCCAATTGTTGAGAATTTTTCGCTCTGTTGGACTAGACTAGCATTCATCATTCTAGGTTCAAACTGTGTTCCAGTAAGGAAGTTCTTTTTGGGGAATACTGCTCACTACAGGTAGCATATCTTTCCCTGAGTACAGTAAGACAATGAAGTGTGTACAAATGTGCTTGTTCTTTTCTGTAACTGACCAAAGGCAGATGATAGAGGGGTGGAATTGATAGGCTTTGGAATGTATTTTTACAGGTGTAACTCAAGTGATACCTTAATCAGTTACTAAAAAGATTTAACTTGACCGTCAATTACAGTCAAAGCTGAGGAAACACTGAACTCAGGTCTCAATTTCAGGTATTTTCATGTGTTTTCCTGACAATATCTTTCAACGACAATGCCACAAATGGAAATAGTGAAGAGGATCTCGCTATTAAATGTACAGGTCAAGCATTCAAAGTGAGCCATTTATCTGCAAAACTTCGTCCCCTCTCCACTCCTCAATGAATAGAGTCGTTTATGGTATGCTGGTATCAGATTTCATGAAGTAGCTCTGTCAGAGCAGAGCTGAAGCTCCGGTCTCTGGCAGTCAGATGACGTGGCCGAAGGTTGCGGACGAAGCTCCGACAGTGTTGCTTTATTCACCGCTTGAGGGAACGCTTTCAAAGCTAACTGGCCATCCTAAATCACGTGATCTCAAATAACCAATCCGACATGCGTGCGCTGAGCATCTGAAGAACTTACGCCATATGCGTACGAGGAGCATCCCTGAAAAAAATTCTCTGTCATACAACCAGGAAGAAGGTGGGTTAGCCCCGTAAAGCTAACATCCTCAATCCTTCTGCACACTTTCTCCGACAAGAATGGGTTCATCCAGGTGGAAGGTGGCAGCGGTGGTCCTCGCCATTGTGGGATCTTTTTTACCCGTGAACGCGGATGAACACGAACACACGGTAAGAAAACAGTCGGCAGAGGCCGAATGAAAAAGATGAGTGCCTTGAAAATAATGGACGTTTGTGCTCAGTACGAGCAGCGAGCGTTAGCCGCAACAGCTAGCTGCAGACGAGGAAAGAGGATTGACACCGTGTCAGTGTCGGTTTGCCGGCTTCATAAGTGTATACTTGTTGATATGTTAAACATTGAGATATTTAGCTAAATAGATCCCTTTTCAGAATTTATAGGCCCAAATGGGCTTCTAGCTAACATTCACCTGCTAGCATACCAGCAAGTCTTCCTCCTAGATCTTTCTAGTTTTCGTTGAAGCAACGACGAATTATACGCTAAAGTTTAAACCAGTATGTTTATGTTGTAAGGAGGCATAAAAAAGAAACATAATGTTTAAAACCCCAGCGACGAATTTCTTGAAGTCGAGACTGCCATTAAAGTATTTTACTTGTTCACGTTGCACTATATAGAGATGCTGGTTAATACATGCACAGAACCCTAAGCGTTTCAGTGTTTTTTGTTTTTGTTTGTTTTGTAAAACCGAGTTGGTTAAACTGGTTACGCTGGGTTTATGACGTTTCATTGACAGCCACTGCGTGTGGCATCTGGTGTGGCATTTGCTTTAAGTTATTTTTTAGTAATGAGAAATAAAGGAAATAAACAATGCTATCACCACCTACGATCCATGGTACTCCTAAAACGTGGACATAGTAATTTTCCAATATAGAAATAAGTTACGGGGGACATTCAAATTTTGTAGTTAAAGTACTTAAGTTATGCGCGTACATGTGCAGTTCATAGATAGATAGATAGCACTCTTAACCCCTCGGGAGTTCGCTTCGAGAAATTAAGTAGAGCACGAAAACAATTTTTAAATCTACACTACGACCAGAATTTCAAATGGCTAACCATGTAACTTTCTAACCATGTAAAATTCTCATAACCCAAACTTCTTAGTGGCGAGAATCCACCTAAACAAGCTAACCATGTAACTTGTAAAATTCTCATAATCCAAAGTTCTTAGTGGCGAGAATCCACCTAAACAAACTCTGACCCACATCAAGGCGTTTTGATTAGTTATCTGATTTTATATTTTTGGCTAAACCCAGTGACACTGGGGTCTGAAACAATTCAGCTTTACTGTGTGTTAAGGCTATTTAATCAACTGCAAATGAGATGTTAGGTTGTGTAAAAATATCAAATATCTTACTGTCTTATATTGACATCTTAGTATCTCAGGGTTATTGTTAAATTAAGTGAGTATGCTGTCAAACCAATGTCCAGTCATACAGACCTAATTTTACATGGTCGTTGTTCTTAGATCAGTTTAGAACAAAACAAGTTAAATATAATAAACACTTGAACAGCATTATATGATGAATGGATACAAAGGATGCAATGAATTTGGCACCTTATCCCAACTTGATTGGACCTACTAGACAATTAAATTAACTAAATTATAACTGCAATTTCTGTATGCACAGTCCTCATGTTACATCAGCTTCTGTGAGCTGGAACTGAAAACACCAGAGTTTAGTAGATGTTTTCTTTTGGTTGGTACTCATGAATTGAGTCCACAAAACAATATGTAACTGTCTAAAAATATGTTTCTATATTGAGTTTTTTTATGTCAGTTATCAACCACAGACAATTATTGGTCTTCTCTACATTTAGCATGAAATGAACACCCCCCATGTCAACTGTTCCTTTAACTATTACCATAAAGCATTTATATGTTGTTTTTTTCAGGGTACTTTTGTTCAGCACCCATTCCACCTAATGCAATTCCATCATGACCTAGAGTACAATATGATATTGAATTTTCCAAAACTATTAACATAAAAGTATGCAAAGTTTGACAGTGCAGCATATCAAATTGGTGTGCTAGACTAAGCTACACAGAGGAAAGAAAGAAATCCCAGTATTTTATTAAATAATGCTGAATAAATAGTAAAGTGAATTTAATTATTCAAACCTGTCAACAGCTAGTGTAAAATTTAATCCTTGGCTTTTGCACCAGAGTAAAATAGTTGCCTGTGGTGTGTTTGTTATACTTAATGTTTAGGATAATATAACATGGACAATATGATAAGAGAATCATAAAAGAGAATTGTTTCAACTCCAATTTAAGTACTGTCAGATTAAATCTAGATCTTTCTAATTTTTGCTCCTGACGTAATGTTAGCTTAAAATTGTTTATTTTTCCTTAGAGAAATTTGCAATGATACTGGTTGAATGATGTACACAGATTTTCTGTATTTGTAAACCTCTTGTAAAAATTACAGGTGATATTTAGGCACATCTACATAGCAGTTTTCTTCATGTTTTTTTTCCTTAATCGTTTTATAAGATGCCCTGAATTTGATTGTTGTGCTGTTTTTTAATTAGTTAGTTATCGTTGACAGGTTTCTATCGTTGTAACCCAGATGACTGAATCGATTTGTTGTAAAACATGCTAGACACCGTTACAGAAAGAGCAATGGTTATATTAGGAAACAGGCAGGACAAGCAGAACTGGTGTGACATTCCTGCATTGACTAATCAATGTCTTTTGACTTTTTGCAGTACAAAGATAAAGAGGAGGTAGTCCTATGGATGAACACAGTAGGGCCTTACCACAATCGTCAGGAGACGTACAAGTACTTCTCTTTGCCCTTCTGTGCGGGCTCCAAGAAGACCATTAGTCATTACCATGAAACACTCGGCGAGGCTCTGCAGGGGGTGGAGCTTGAATTCAGTGGCCTAGACATCAAGTTCAAAGGTACATCTTCTTGTTACACTGACCTCGACATGTTGAGGACACTAACCCAAAGCTGGTTTCCAGCTGTTACTGGATACGTTTCTGCCTTCCATTTCACATTGTCACTCTGTCAGATATTGTTCTTATGTTTAATTTCTGATCCACGCAGATGACGTAATGCAGACAACATACTGTGAAATTGACCTGGATAAAGCCAAACGGGATGCTTTTGTCTACGCCATTAAGAACCATTATTGGTACCAAATGTACATAGATGACCTGCCCATTTGGGGTAAGAGATTTCCTTCCATCATAAAAATGTCTTTTTGTTGCACACTTTATTGTACGTCCTACCTGATCCACCTGCTTACCTAAACTGTGACACAAGACCAGTTTGACAGTCAGGAGTCCCACTATTGACTGACACTAAGACAAATGTTAAATACTTGAACACTTAAAGGACTTCTGTTATGTTTAACAACTAGACAGTTGGAACAGGGGTAGTCTTGAACAGGGTAGTAGTTTGGACTATGGTGCCACTCCTACCGGTGCTCAAACATTACTGTGTAAGCAGATGATGGAGGCTGTGGGTGGGTCTCTGCTGTTTGTTCATATGAGTTTCCTTGTCTTATGTTTCATACTTGACACTCAATGATAAGTATAATATAATAAGTCAATGTGGACTTCAACCTCGGGTCCTCTTTGACAATGTGGTAACCGAGCTGGTGCGTTGCAATTGTGAGACAATAGCAAGTTTAGCTGGGTTAGACACTGTAGACCTGGATCTTCACACTTCCTTACACTATTAACAGTTATTACAGTGTCATTACGGTAGAATAAACTGTGTGAAAATGTTAACATTACATCATGCCTGGCATTTAGTTTAGTAATGTTTATTCAGTTGAAATTTAATGCTTCAAGATTGCCTCTTGAACAAATCCACAAATCGAGTCAGAAAAATCAATCAATTGTTGAGATTTTGTTTTGATGGATTAGGTCATGGGGATTCCTTATTAATTGGCCAATATGCCGTAGGTGTAGTAACCACAGCAGGTCACCTGACAGGTTCAGTAAACATATTCAAATTGGAGCCACAATTGAAAAGCAATATCATCTGACTGGCACCCAAAGTCTTAAAATGTGACGTGGTGGCACTTTAGCTTTTGTGAAGCTACGCTAGGATGTGAGGTGGAGTTGAACAAACAGACAGATCCTGCTACTTCTGAAAAGGGAACAGTAATGCAACCATGGCAGAGCTTTAGCACCTCTCCAATGGCACAGTAATATTACAAAGTTAGTTGCATTGTGTATACATAGTGCATGTTGTGCACAGGTGTTGCTTTTCTATGCATTTTCAAAATTGAGTGTGTATATCCTTTTTTCTACATTTCTGTTTTTAAACTACTTTCTATTATAAAAGAATCTCATTTTGGCTTTGAGCTAATCTAACTAATTTACTGTACTGTTTGTGTTTTCTTCTGACAAATTCTGAGCTCTCAAAAATAACTTTACTATGACCTTTAAGAATGTGAGGGTTTTGCCTCGCTGCTCTTTTAGACTGTATTAGTTCGAATGAGATACTTCAGACTAATAAACTTCAACCCTTGTCAGCTCTGATGTTATGTTTCTGCTGATGGAATAAGATGATATGTCTTTTTGCAGCAGCGGAAATTGGGGTTTGTGGAGGACAACCCTCAACTCTTAATGTTTTTGTGACTGATGTTACATGTTGATTAATATTGATTCAAAGTGATTGGTCTGAATTCAACTTCTAAGTAGATTCACACTGCTGGCTAACTGGGACTAAGATTTAGATTTCGTGTGGTTTTCAATGATTTGTTTTGTTTTGTTTTTAAAGGAATTGTGGGTGAGGCAGATGAAAATGGAGAAGATTATTACCTGTGGACATACAAGAAATTGGAGATTGGCTTCAATGGCAATAGAATTGTTGATGTAAATCTGACCAGCGAGGGGAAAGTCAGGCTTGTGCCCAACACACGTATCCCCATGTCGTATTCTGTAAGTCCGGCATGACATTTATTGTCTCCTTTTTACAAACTGAAGCATGAACGAAATAGAATCTGTGTGGCCTAACTTTTTTCCCTCCCAGGTGAAGTGGAAAAAGTCAGATGTGAAGTTTGAAGACAGATTCGATAAGTACTTGGATCCATCCTTCTTCCAGCACAGGGTGAGTTGAATAGCATTGGTTTGGTTCCTCAGATATCTGTGGTGAATACAATCAGCCACGAACACCACAGACATGTAACAGCACATTAGAGGACGAACTTTGACACTGTACTAGTGGAATCTTGTTCCACAGTATTCTGATGTAACCGAGAATTTTTTTTTTGCTTTTTTTAATCGTGCTACTGTCAATATGGTGGACATGAATCGTTGCGAGTACACATGACAAAACAATAGTTCTGTTTTGTATTGTATTCATTATTCTTACTGTCATTCCTTTTAATGTTTTCCTTTATTTTGTAGATTCATTGGTTTTCCATCTTCAACTCTTTCATGATGGTCATTTTCTTGGTGGGTCTGGTGTCCATGATTCTGATGAGGACACTTAGAAAAGATTATGCCAGATACAGCAAAGAGGAGGAAATGGACGATATGGTAAGTTTTGTCGACTTCTGTGGATGTTGGACTGCTGGTTTTAGACTTCTTTTTTTCTGGATGATCTCTCTAACTCATCGTTTACGCTCTACCACCAGGACAGAGACCTTGGAGATGAATACGGGTGGAAGCAGGTACACGGCGATGTATTTAGACCGTCAAGCCACCCACTGATCTTCTCTTCTCTCATTGGCTCTGGTTGCCAGATCTTCTCTGTCTCCCTCATCGTGATCATTGTGGCTATGGCTGAGGATCTGTACACAGAGTGAGTAGTTCGGAGAAACCAGCTGGCTCTAATTTATTTCAAGTTGGAATTGTGAGGCGGGGTTGGAATTATTTTTTTTTCCCCCGATGGTTCAAGTGTTGCCTAACAGCAATTATATATTGCGTATACAGGGTTATGGTGGATGATTAAAATGCAAGACTGTACATGAATTTTAAATATAATTTGTGTGCACAAGGTTTAAGAAAATTGAAAGGATTGCTCGAAGAAAGTTTAAAAACTGAATTGCAACTAAATCTAGTTTGCTCTTATTTTCATGTTTGGAATACTCTGGAACATATTACACAAGAACACAATGGCATACAGTGGGAATTAAAAGAGGAAAGTAAAGGAAGGGAGGAATAATATTAGCTATTTTTAGAAAAACCAAATGATTAAAATAGAGGTGGAAATAGAATGAGTACTTGTACTGTGAACATTATGACACTTTTTTCCTCTTTGTCCTCGATCTTCATCTCCTTCCTTTCTTCTTCTCCACTCTGTGAAAATGGATGGATACATGTGTTTTGAATCTTGACTCCTTCACTTAGGATGTGACAGCACTTGACTAATGCAGCCCTTTTTCTCTCGCTTCCTAGGAGAGGATCAATGCTGAGCACTGCCATTTTTGTTTACGCTGCTACCTCCCCTGTCAACGGCTACTTTGGTGGGAGTTTGTACGCAAAGCAAGGAGGTAAATTTTGCAACATCTGTCCTTCATCTCTGCCTGCAGCTGTATCACTGGACATAGACTGTTGCTTTGATTCAGACACTCCATAATTTCAATTTTAATTTCACAGGCAGAAGATGGATTAAACAAATGTTCATCGGAGCCTTCCTGATCCCAGCCATGGTGTGCGGGACCGCCTTCTTCATCAACTTCATTGCTATTTACTACCACGCCTCCAGAGCCATCCCATTTGGCACTATGGTGAGTCTGACATTTCATGTCCACCCTGATAAAAAAAACAACATTCAGAACCACATGCTCTTTGTCAAATATGTGGCTCTGCTGCACTGGCATTGAAGAGAGTGATTAAACAGACCTGCAGTCTGAAACATTTAGTTAACACCTGTTAAAACCACATCTGAAGATGTCTCTGCTCCCTGCTGAATTCTGCTCCATTTCTTTTTGTCAAATCATGCCTGTTAAAATTACTCTTCTGTCTAATAGACCACTAACACTTAGCACTGTGTAAACATAATTTCATATGATGATAATAAAAAACCTCCCAATTGCAGCATTAAATTAGAAATTCAAATGAAATAAAAGACACATTTAACAAAAGTGAGTCTTTTTTTCAACACATTTTACTTTAATCTTCTGAAAGTAAAAGCAACTGTCATGACTGTCAAGTGTGTTTTCTTTTAGTGCTAAATCCTCTTAGAACTCTGACTCAGTGAACTGCAGCATTCATTAAGATCATTTTCACATCTCTTACTTCATTTTTGCTTTTGTTTGTGCCATAAATTAAACTGCAATGTTTATTTTTTTCTAATAAAGGTTAGAGATGATGTAGATAATTAGTTTCACTTAATGCCTTATTTTGGAGTCCGCTTCCTTAACCACCAAACCACTACTGCCCCAGCAAACGTTTTTACTATCAGTTGAATCATCTCCCATTTATCTAGATATAAATTAAATGTCTTTCTTAGATGCACAAAAATGCCACAATAATATCTGTGCACAGTTTTTTCCCCGTATATACTAAATAAAGCTGCAGTAATATTAGCAGATTCCATAATGTTTTCATGAACCTAATGTAATAGTTCTCCACAGCACTATATGGTCCATACTTTGCATCAGATAATGTAACCCTAACCCTTTGGTGCCTAACAATGCAAACAATTCTTCATTCCAGTTGTGATGTTGTTATGATTTTATAATTAACCCATACAGTTGAGCAGAGGGAAGAAGTCAGATCAGTTTAAAAATGGGGGTAATGTATGTGAGCAGTTATGCAAATTCTCAACTGAGTTGACACAATGTCTGTTTCACTCCTGTAGACTCAGTGTAAATGTTCTGGAGAGCTAGATGAAATGACAGTTTATTTATATATATTTCTTGTCTTTTCTTATAGGTGGCTGTTTGCTGTATTTGCTTCTTTGTCATCTTGCCCCTAAACCTCGTGGGAACCATTTTGGGAAGGAATCTGTCGGGCCAGCCAAACTTTCCCTGCAGAGTGAACGCTGTTCCACGACCCATCCCTGAGAAGAAGTGGTGGGTGGGGCCCGGCAAACGGGATTGTATCAGTCTCTGGTTTCTGAAATCCACTCTGCCTTAGTGGTGTCAAAGTGACGGGCACAAAACCTAAATTAAAATATTATTTTATGATATGACACTAGAACACAAGAACTTGTCAGTTTAAATCACTTGGACTTATAATCTCTAGGGTGCTTCTGAACACTGCCTTATAATGAGCCTTGTTCATAGTCGCAGAGGGAGCTGTGATGAGTGATCAGTGGGCAGTGAGTGGCTTGTTCTTTATGCAGGAACTGAATCCCAAGTGTTCCAAAAACCCTTGTTCAAGTGTTTGATATCAGGTCGAAGGCACAAAGTGCTTCTGCCGTCTGCACAAACTCTTTGGATAATGAAAAATAGCAAAGCAAAAAGCTGTGAGTGGATTAACATTTACAACCTCCAGCCAGTTTCTGGGGCCGGCTGCCAGCAGGACATTGTAGATGTGAATCTAGGCAAACCTTCCCACTCGCTCGATTTTCCATTATGTTGCTGCCTTTATTTATTTATTTATTTTTCAAAACACAGTTGTGTATCATTTAGCCTGACAGGTGTGATCTAACAGAAACACTGATACGGTCTGTTCTGAATCGTGTGGTCCCTCAGGTTCATGGAGCCCGCTGTCATTGTCTGCCTCGGAGGAATCCTTCCATTCGGCTCTATTTTCATCGAAATGTGAGTGTGTGTTAAGTTAAGGTGGTGATGAAACCCATGATTGGACTATTGGACTGCAGTGACGTAATAACTGTTTTACAGGTACTTCATCTTCACATCATTCTGGGCCTACAAAATCTACTACGTGTACGGCTTCATGATGCTGGTCCTGGTTATACTGTGCATTGTGACGGTGTGCGTGACCATCGTGTGCACGTACTTCCTGCTCAATGCTGAGGATTACAGATGGTGAGTGTGTTGGTGTTTCATACCCATTAAATAGAATTGTCAGGAACATTTTACTAAGTGTGTAAATATAATGTATACATGCCATGTTTTAGCAACCTGAACGTAACAAATAAAACAAACAATAAATATAAAAAAATAAAATAGTGAACTACAAGAAAACCAGCAACATCATGTTTAAATGTTTTGAATGTCAGATCTGAGAAATCTTATTTGTGAATTCATTTCTATTAGGGTTGTCCATAAAATCAATTCAAATATAACAAATGAAGTTTCCTCTCCTGGGTGAGGGAGGCCATCAGGGTGAAGTGAGTTAATAATTTAGACTTTGTTACTAACCTTTGTTGTTTTTGTGCTTGTTCTTCTTCAGGCAGTGGACGAGCTTCCTCTCTGCTGCATCCACAGCTGTTTATGTTTACATGTACTCCTTTTACTACTATTTCTTCAAAACTAAGTGAGTCTTCAATCCTGTTGTATCCCACGGTCCAATGAAAGTATTATAATAAAGTATTGTGTATATATATATATATATATACATATACATACATATACATATATATACATATATATATATATATATACATATATATATATATGTATATGTATATATATATATATATATATATATATGTATATATATATACACAAATCACAGATATATTGATCTTTTTTCTTTTTGTTTGTATTCCAGGATGTATGGGCTTTTCCAGACGTCCTTCTACTTTGGATACATGGCTGTTTTCAGCACTGCTCTAGGAATAATGTGTGGTGAGTCCTGCGTTTGCCGCGAACTACAGAAACCTGATTCAACAGCCAGGCTTTTAGTGACAGCTTTTGTTAGGAAATCCTAAAGACCTTCAGTCCTTAGAAAAATGTAGAAATACCCAAACTATGTCAACGTCATAGTAGATAGCTTGTCATTACCCACATCATTTACAGACCGATCTGACACCAATGTCGCTCCACCTGCTTCAACCTTTACCTGGCTAAACAAGTCAACTCATAACAAAAGTTCAAGTAGCTACAAGTCTCATAGCAGGTTTTTCAAAGTTTTATGATGGTGAAGTCCAGTTGTTTTGTTTTTTTTTTACATCATTTTGAGAATGAGAGGGGCTATAAATCTGGAATTTGACAATTAAATCTTTTTATTTTATTTTTTTTTAATCCATATTATTATTTAAATAAAATTAAGTTGAAACTGAGCCAAAAGATGACAAAAACTTGGCACAGTAAAACTCTGGCAAAAAGTACCCAGGGAGAACAGGTTAGCATGGTTTGATAGTGAAAACACCCAGATGAAGTTTGCATAGTTGGTTAGCCAAGCATTTGGTGCACTTGATGTTGCACTTGTGGTCAAGTATCACATAAAGCTAAATGTTAGCCAAAAATGTAAATCGGCAAAAAGATTCAAGTGTAAGATTGGAAAGTTACTTTATTTTAAAAATAACTACAGGATTTCTGAATATATGATATTTTAAGATATACTGTAATTATTTACTAAATACCATAGACTCTGTATAGCTGGTACTGTATATACCAGTGCAAATGGAGCTAAGAAGTAATTCACAGTTACTCTGTCAGCTCAGTTGGAACATGTTATCAAACCTGACCAGAAGTGATCTCAAACGGCCCTGAAACAAATTTCACTGGGTACAAAACAGCCACAGCATCTTTTCTCCAAAGGTCCATTATCTGTAGAGAGCAGACTCTCTTACACAGCGGTGCAGTGATGTGGACTTTTCATCCTCAGCTTTGTTCATCTTCACTCCTTCACTCCTCCTCAGAGTAAAGTCAAGACTGACTTGACTTTGTACCTTGACATACCTTTGTTTTTAAAGCAGTAGCTTTGAAGTTTCTTTGTTTTATTTTTCCGGCACTGGCTATCTCACTGCTTACATTGCAGAGTAGCATTTACCGCTAACCTTTAGAAAAGTCTTTAGGTAAGTCTCCATTGCAAAAGAGTCTCACCGTCCGTGTTTTTCTTCCAGGTGCTGTTGGATATGTGGGAACAAGTGCCTTTGTTAGGAAGATCTACACAAATGTGAAAATTGACTAAGAGGCAAAACAGGGATAAAATGGATTTGCCTACGACGGCGGGCACAAGTCATTCTTTAATACTTTACTTTCTTGTGAAGAGATTGTGAAGAATCTCACTTTGTAGAACTTTTTTTTTTTTTTACCTTTTTCCAATTATTTTTTTCTGAACCAATTTTGACGCGGCCACTCAAAAGAGAACAGGAGTAAAACTCTGCGCAACACGAGGCTGCATATTTATCTGTTTGTTTCCAACCAATGATGGGGCAGATGATAAATGCCAGGCAAACCCAGTCCCAGCTGAGACCAGAGAACATAAATGTTTATTGATGGAATAGTGTCGCTCTCTTCAGTGAAGAGGCCTACGTATGTACTGCAAGCCTTTGTTCTATTGTGTCAGGATATAAGAGAGTTTGGGTTTGTGCCCGTGTCCACAAGTGATTTTTTTTATTTTATTTTTTTCGTATTTGCAATGTCACTCAAAATATGGTTTGTTCAGACCCACTTCCACTGCAGATGTAATCACGGGAGAATCATTCCCCCGTCTGATGATTCTTAATTCCCTGTCACAGTAGCAGTTGATGATTTTAGTCTGCTGTAGTTTACTGTACAGTCAAGAACAGATGGACAGATCAAAGGTTGAGGTGCAGTAAGACCTGATTTTATATAAGAAAAAAAAAAGTAGTGGATGTTTGATGTGATCCCTGTTCCAAAATTCTGTCTTATGTTTCTTAATGTTTGGGTTTGAATGAAGTCTACTTGTAAAGATAATATATGGATGGGGAGCGTGTATATAACCGTAATGTACCTTTAGATGTAGATCCCAAATGTATTTTCGTTGTACAGATTTACTACAGGTTTTTTTTTTTTTTTTAAAGAATCATTTCTGGGTTGTTTTTGTTTGGTGCTTGGGGTGGGGCTGGTGGCGCTGTTACATCTTGCCTGAAGTTGCATGAAATTTTCAGCAAACCCTCAATTCAGACTTTTCTCTCCACTGCAGTTGGCGCTGCGGTCAAGTTTTTGTTCCACCCCTTCTGGTTGTGAGCACTCTTCATATTTTACATTTCATGCACTATTTAAAGCTTTAAAAGGCTCAACACCTTCTCTAAGCCACTTCCTCGTCACATGATCCGTTTCCCAAAACCTGCAGCTCGCCGTCTGCGAGTCGGGTTTTTGCGTCGTTTCAACAAACATACTGTACGCAGTGAAGATAACGTAACGTTTTCAAGACCACGCTTGGTGCTAACAAGCGCGTCACCTGATTCTCCACTTTTTGTGTAAATACAGTTATGTATCCCATGTATATGAGAAGTGGCATTGCCTTTCTGTTCTAACTTCCATTTCTCCCCCAACTGAAGTTGATTTTGGCACCTCATGTTGTGTATCAATGTCTGACTGGACATTTTGAATCCGCATATTAACTTGCTGTAAAAAGAGGAAAATAAACATGTTTATGTACAGGGTTTACTCTGTGTGGTTTGGACTTTGGAACATAAAAGTAGTACTGTATACAGGTCCATACAATATATTAATATAATGTGGACATAAGGTCACCTGAAGTAACACACCCAGACAAACATTTAATTAATGCTCTCCTGCTGACATGTTAGGATGGGGTTTCCAAACTTGTGACCCCCTGAACAAACCCACAGGCAGTGCTACAAAATATGTAAAAAAATAAAATAAAATTTAGAAAGTACTTACTTACTTTTAATTACTATTCAATAATTATTAAATTTTATGACATTGTGATGCCAAAGTGGCAACTATCAAATAAAGTGCTCTTCCTTCCTATTTTCTAAGGCGCCCCCTGGTGGCCCCCACCACTAGGACAAACTGTTTATTACAGTGCAGGATGTAATCAGGCTGAACAGAGATAATACACTTGAATCTGCCTCGTTTATGTTTAACCAAAAAACGTGTCTTGTGACTGAAGAATCATTTTCTACCTGTCCCTTCCTCTCAAGTCACTACAGCATTAGTTGTCATAGTGATTTGAAAGTTTCAGACTGAATGACTTCCCGATGTGACCCAACTTGGGATTTGGGGACTAGGTGGTATTGAACTTGCAGATGGACTTAGTGCCACTGGTATGTGATCACTGTCTGTAGTATTGTCCCCTTATGAACTCAGTTTGGGTTGTGGGGGTGCAAGGAGGTGAGTCAGAAGAATCCCAGCAAAGCCTGAGATTATCTGTTATAGATGGTGGTTCAACCTGAACGTCTACATTCAGGTTAATTGTGCAGTGATGTGAATTTAATGTTCAAATATTTTGTTCTATTTCATTTTATGCTGTCTACTTTGAAAAAATACTAAAATGTATCATCAGACATTTTTCCGGTCCAGGATCTTTATTTAGCAGCGTTAGTGGATCATGGAAGTTTCCCCAAAGGTTTTATAAAAACATTTTATTTGTAATTTAATACAAATAAAATATAAGATCTTTTCTGTTGCTTAAAGTGCATACAAAGCTACACACATCGGCTCCTGGTTTTATCTGTGCAGTTAAATCTGCTCTGATGATGTTGCAGACATTTGGTAAATGAGTTTTAATAAATGTTACCTTTTATTTGAAGCTTATTAGTCACACCACCTGGAGAAAACATTTCTTACAACGGGCCCTGATGTCAGACAACCCACACTCGCCCCCTCCCTCACTCTCTCTAAACAAAAGAGACAAGCAGGCGAAGACAGGTGCTGGATCCCATTTATAATCAATCCCCCTACCATTAACCAAAAGAAAATCACATTCATGACTCCGACATTAATAGTAAATTCAACTTAACCTAGTCATTTAATATTACTGTTAGATGTCAGTTAACTTTTTCAAAGTACTCTTTGGATCCTTCGGGTGTCGGTTTGATCTGAAAAAAATAAAATAAAAACAGAAACATTAGTATCTGATGTTTTTCTCTCTAAAAAAACCTAAAAAGTTTAAGGCTGAAAATCAAACTTGAAACATTTTTCAATACTGGAAGTAGAGTATAGGAATAGTACAAATGTACTTAGCAGCAAAAAGTTTAGTCAGGGGCTTAAACAACAGTATAGTGAACATGAAGTTTAAATTGCATGTGTTCAAAAAATATTTATATTAACCTCACAAAAGTGTAAAAATGTACAGTTCACAATGTTTTAACGTGGAATAATTACAGTGGACTGATTAGAGTGTGTGTAAACTCACTGTTGGAGACTTTGGGGTCCAGCTGGCTGGACACACTTCACCATGAGTCTCCACAAACTGGAAGGCTTTGACCAAACGAAGGGTTTCTTCTACAGAACGACCCACAGGCAGATCGTTCACACTCGTGTGTCTCACCACTCCATTTGGATCAATGATGAAAAGACCCCTGATTGACAACAAAGAAGTGAAATGATCTTTAATTAAACACATAAACAACTGTGCCTAAGAACAATGATGTAAATGTGTGTAGTCTTTTAATGTTTAAGCCAGGGTCAGAACTGAACACAAACATAATACAGCTCAAATAAATATTAGGAAGTGAATGAGCTACTCAATAGCCAAAAATAACAAAAACAGCTCAAAGTTAGCTAAAAATATGAATTAATTCAGAATTGTAAGACATATAGTATGGAGAAGTTGGATAAAACATAGCCAAGAGGAAAATCGGATTGTCTACGTCCTATACTGGAGAGTTATAAGTTAATCTGATATAAAAAAATATAAGTTTGACAAAGGGCAGTTGTACAATTCCATTAAAATGACTCGAAACATTTCATATAGTTATGTACCTGAGGGCAATGCCTGGATTCTCCAGCAGAACGCCATAGTCTCTAGAGATCTGCTTGGTGAGGTCAGAGAGCAGAGGGATTTTGATGTTTCCCAAACCTCCAGTCTGTCAAAACATTATTAATTCAACTTTAATGGCTTCCAAGACTGAGTGGGTTTAAATAGTGAGCTGATCCTTCACTGGTCACTGTTGCCAGCCACAGAGAGAGTACCTTGCGTGGAGTGTTGATCCAAGCCAAGTGGGTGAAGTGGGAGTCCACAGACACACCCACCACCTCACAATTTATGTCATGAAACTCATTGACTTTGTCACTAAAAGAAATGATTTCTGTCGGGCAAACAAAGGTGCTGCAAATGAAAGTGAACAAATACATATACAAGTCAAATATACTATAATTCATTTGTTTCCTAAGCAGGTCATGATGACAGTACAGATAAGCTATAAAGCACATATTCACATCAATGAAACGTTTGTTTATAGTTCAGGAGAGTTGCTTTAATTCTAAGACAACACAACTCCTACTCACAAGTCTAGTGGGTAGAAGAACAGGACCAGGTATTTGCCTTTGAAATCACCAAGGCTCATCTCCTTAAACTCTCCGTTGTGAACAGCTGTGGCCTTAAAGGCAGGAGCAGGCTGGGTGACAGCAGGGGCCCATCTGCAAGAGCCTGATAACAGAAACACACCCAGTACAATTACTGTGAGTTGGAAAGACTCGCACTGTGGATTTCCCCATTGTGGGACAATTTTAATAAAACGCCACTCAGGGTAACATTTCACTGTAGTTACATTTGTATAATTGAATCTATTGTATATGTTCAGGCATCAGAGTTGCACATCTACTGAAATAAACTTGCTCATACATCTGCTCAAAACCTGTTCATTACAAGAGTTTTGTACGTACTAGTAGAGAAGCAGGCTCTCTGAAGAGCAGGAGCAGTGAGGACTCTGGCAGCTCCAGAAACTCCATGTTGACTCGCTACTGTGAGTTTCAGACTTCCTGCTGCAACTCTGGCCTGAAGTAAAAAAATCAATAGAAAATGGCTCAGTGGGGAAACAAACTGTACAGTTATGCGAGTTAACAAGACAAACCATAGGAATATTAAGAACATTTCATACATCATGTCTGGCCCAGTTAATGTAATTTTTTGACTCTGTTTGCACGTTAACAGCTTGTGTGACTGCACTTTATCAAAAATAGTCCTGGGTCTATGCGTCTACCCTCTCTCTGATGATGTAACGCCTTAATTCCTTCTCTACTAACTCAACACTACATATACTATGTATGGAATTATTACATCAAGGTATAAACATCGGAAGCACATGTGACAAAACGCTAATTTCACGGGAGGCTGAACTTAAACTCCAGACGGCAGAAGTGTTTTTTTAACCATATTAAACATAAATAAAAACACAAACTTGACATGGTTCCAATGCAGGTGCGAAATGCGACACAACAGCTCAGTACCTCAGCGCACATGACATGACTTACTACGACTGTAGAGTACAAACACGAGCCATCTTTATTCATAAAAGCACCACAATGGTGAGAAAGAAGTGAGAGAGCGAAAAGCAACAAACTTCAATTTATTTCATACTCACACAAGTCCGCATTAGTGTTCCAACGGAGGCTGCCATTTTGAATTATGTCAGAGAAAGACAGTTGCAGACGTTATAACTTCGCTTTAAGGGCTGACGGAGGTTCAACGTCAAAAAAAAAAAGAAAAGAAAAAAAAAACTAAATATATATATCTAATTTGTGAAAATAATGTATGAAAACAAGCCCAACAGCAAATTATAGCATTAAAGCCTAAATTAAAACGACCTTGAATAAGATTCTATGATGACATCAAGTACCCTCGGAGAGATTTAGATCAGGTAAAGTGCATTAAAAGCGTCCAATATATATATGTGTGTATATATATATATATATATATATAAATATATATTATTTGTGAAAATAATGTATGAAAACAAGCCCAACAGCAAATTATAGCATTAAAGCCTAAATTAAAACAACCTTGAATAAGATTCTATGATGACTTCAAGTACCCTCGGAGAGATTTAGATCAGGTAAAGTGCATTAAAAGCGTCCAATATATATATGTGTGTATATATATATATATATATATATATATAAATATATATTATTTGTGAAAATAATGTATGAAAACAAGCCCAACAGCAAATTATAGCATTAAAGCCTAAATTAAAACAACCTTGAATAAGATTCTATGATGACATCAAGTACCCTCGGAGAGATTTAGATCAGGTAAAGTGCATTAAAAGCGTCAAATATTGTTTGTAGAATTGATACAGTGTATCTGTCATATTCATATATCATTCACATATTCATATTTTACTAGCTAATACTATAACTACAACTACTAAAAATAACATATTTAGAGAGTTATAATTTTGAGGTGTTTGTATTTCACGCAATTCAATTTAGCTCAGTTCAGTTCAACAAATGTACGTACATATGAAGTACGTCATATGTTACATGCGGACAAATTACAGAGAACAAATCTATTAGAAGAATTGCAAACAAGAAGGATGAACTTGTAAATATTAGAAATGGAATAATAAAATAAGAAACGATCTCCATTTAGTTAAAAAAGTTAGAAAAACGCCAATTACAATTTCTTTCTTCTGACATTGAATGTATCGGATGTGGTCACATGTTTGACCAGGAAGTAGTTTCAAAGCAAAACTTGACCTCAAACGCGAAAAGAGGCATTATAAGCGCATGTGGTAGTACACCAAAATAATTTAAATACATGTTTTTATTTAAATGTAATGAGAAATAAAGTAGTTTATTGTGGAGATGGACCCTACTCTGTCGTATTGGAAAAGTCATGGCCAGGTATCTGCTCTAAATTCACCTTCACATAATCATCTGTGCTGAGAAACTACTCACATTTAGGTGTGTTACCTGTCAGTCTTTTTTCAGCCGGGTCAAGACCTGGATAAATCTCCTTGAACCAGTTAACTTGTTCTCTTCTAAGGTAAGTATCTGCTGCTGCAGTGGTCATACACTTTGACCTCTTAACTTTTAACCAGTGATCTCTACCAGGAATCTACCAAATATTGCAACACTTGTTATTGCTCAATATTGTACATTTATGTATGATTAGGATTCACTCAGAAAATGTTGACACATATCCTCATTATTCATCCATTATATATATACAGTATACAGATCTTGCTTTATGCAATTATGAAAGTTCCAGGTAAACACTGACGTTTTTTCTTTTGAACTGGTCTTAACAAACTTGGAGATTTGTACCAAGAGGTCATAAGCTGTTAAGTTGTGTGTTTTCTATGCAAGTGTGTGAGATTTAAAACTGTTGACCATCCTCTCCACAGGATGAAATAGAGAAGGCTTATTCCCTTCTTGGAAATAAAGAGGAAAGTGAAAAGGTCAGTTGTTGTCCACCTTGAAAGTCATTCTTTTGCTATAAACCACCACTTGATCCAAATGTCTCCGCTCTTCTTTCTTTTTTTTCTAGGATGCAGCTGCTGTGAACCTCGCTATAGTAAGTGGAGGGAACGCAAAATGAACAGAATGAACAGCAGAATTGTGTTTTTATCATATTAAATTACCTTGTCACATACTTACATGACCAAAGAGGACATTTGTAGAGCTAAATAAATTAAAAAGAAAAGAGAGTTACAGTGTGTCCGACCATTTCTGTGTTTGAAAGCCCTCTCACACGAGGGTTTGATTTTATCCAACCAATTATTAGGTGTTGGATTTTATTAACTAACTCATTTAGGCGCATGCCTTAACGAGGTAGTTAATCAGGTGTCTAACAGCTTTGACAACGTTCATCTTCATGTCCTTGTCAAGCGTTAAGCAAGTGTTTTATTTTATCAGGTTTATCCACTCTCAGGACTGAACATAGTACATTGTCAATTTTATAATATTTTTTTATTTACAACAATTTTTGATCAAGTTCCATTTGATTTTTTGTCTTCGTTTTTAATGACTACCATAATCCTGACAGAACATTTTAAAGGAACTAGATTTCAATCCTCAGATGAAGCAAAGAAGCAGGTTGTCATCTGGTGTGTAAGACATCCCACCAGAATTTCACAAAAAAGTAATTCTCCAATGCTGTAATAATAAATAGATTAAGTTTTCCTTTGTCTTTGAACTTTTTGACTCTCACAGAACTAATTGTCTATTAAATGCTGTATTGTATGGAGGTTTGATTGTACAGGTGTGTTTCAAAGTGGTTTCTCTGTGTCCACAGTCATCTGTTCATGCTGATACTGGAACTGTTCTGCCTTTGTTGCTCCGCCCTCCAGGTACAGTGTAGATCACAGCAGATGAATCACATGCTGGTGCCCCCACTTATCACAGCTGCCTTCTCTTTCTTTTTTGTAGCATATTTAACCATATTAGGACCTATGGTAGGTGTCAGTCCTACAATGTAATTAGCAGCACTTGCTTTCAGTACTGTGTTTGTTGTGAAAAAAATCATTTAATTTTATAATTTTGTTTGCAGGCCTTTGTCAGTTTTTTACCTCACATGGCTGTAAAACCAGCTCTGTTTTGGCAGGTATGGAAGCAAACCCATTTTTCTAAAAAAAAAAAAAAATATATATATATATATATATAGTGTGTATTACAGGTATATATACACACTAGTACGTCCTTTAACACAATTTAGATTTAATAAATACATTGGTATCTTTTCAGTTTCATTTGCAGAGTTACAATGCGGGGTTTACCTTTGCAAACAGAAATTCTTCAGCAGAGCTGGAAATGAGAAATCAGGTTTGAGCAATTGTTTTGCAGTACTACCAAACCAAACATTTAATATCAGTAGTTGCTGGTGTTAAGTTTAAGTTTTTTCAGAAGCATTAAATCATACTAGTTGAAAAAATACTGACCAGTCAATCATTTTTTCAGTGTTTACTTTCCTTAATTGTAACAACAGCTGTAAAATACTGAGTGACTTGGAGAGAGAGATAAAAAGAAAGAGTTTGAATTTATTGAATGTAATAAGAATATTCAGATGTTTGTTTTTTTTTTAGTTCTGTTAAGCTTCATCATCTGCCTTTATCTGTAACCACCAGGATATGAAGACAAAGTTCTTAAAGCATCTGCTGATGTTCACTGGAACTGTGTCCCTCACAACTGTTGCAGGGGTGGGTGCAACTTTATATGTGTTATTACAATACAAATGAAAAGTACAAATCATACATATATTTAAGATCATATAGTTCTGTGTTCTGTTTCAGGCCCTTCCTCAAATTATTATCAACCGGCTCCAAATAAAAGATACAGTACTCCTAGCTGTCTCAAGGAACCTTTTACCTGTCCCACTGTCAGGTAGGTATTTGATTCTAACCCCAATGAAGTGTCACACTCACTATGCTGTACCGTGTCTTCAGCGGTTATACATACAGTATGTCAGGTAGTGTCCACTCACATCAGAAGCATAAAGAATGTACTTTTAAATATTTTTACTCGACTTATTTTTATTCTGTTGTGTTTGCCCTTTTCATAATGATGTGTTGACAAATTCTTGCAGCTGTGCTGGCTGCTTTCAGTGTTTACACCATTAGAAATGAGGAGAGGGAAACAGGGGTCCGAGTGTTTGACTCCAATGGACGTCTAGTTGGGGTTTCTCAAGCTGCAGGAAAAAAGGCAAGACGTAATGAGTAAGGAGACGTGGAGGAAAAATAAGTATTTATTAGTCTAAATTTTACAAGTGTGTTCTTTCTGTTTAGGCTGTGAGGGAAACGGCATTGTCCAGAGGAGCTCTGTTTGGCACCTCTTTTACTGTTCCTCATCTACTGCTGCTCCTATTACGAAGGTGAGTTGATGTTGGAGTTTTAATCTTGGTGCTTGGAAAAAAATTCACTGTTTTTTTAAGGAGTCTGAAATAGCTGCTGTTTTTCAGCTGCTGCATATATTTATTAGAAAAACCACACAAAACAATGTCACAAAAATGTAGGTTATTTTAGTTCTAATTTACTCATGATGTTTATATATGTTTATATGTTTAGTGATTTAGATTCTGACATAACACTCTAGAGCAGACCTGGGCAAACTAGGGCTCACGGGCCCAACTGGGTTTCTAATCTGGCCTGCCAAACACTGGTACTAGGTATGGTAATGGCCCAGATGATGTTTAAATTTTGACTGGCAGCCGATTCAATATTCTGAAAAATACTTTCAGAGGTGTAATATACAAACAATAGGTTATTGGAGCTGTTCATAGGCACACAGTCCTAGAGAAAACTGACTCAGCCTTTTAATTCACCTTATGATGATCTTTTTTTTTTTTTACAGAACAAGCTTTTTCCAGGGGAACTCTTTTCTTTTTGCTCCTGTTCGTAACATGTCTTTTGTGTTGGTTCTGAGTCTGATGATCCCAGTATCTTTTAGTCTCTTTCCTCAACTGGGAACGGTGAGATTCAGGATTCTTCACTCAGTTGTTTGCCCGTGTTTTGTTTTTCTTGTCAGATCAACTAAACTGTACGTGCAATTTTCTTTTAAGATATCAAGGGACAGGTTGGAGAAGGAGCTACAAGCTGCTGCAGTGGACGGACAACTGTTCTATCACAGAGGACTCTGAAGAGAACATTCTTTGTAAATGCAACTAATTTGAAGAAAAACACCCCACAGTCAACAGAAATGTATGGCATGAAAATTTAATTATGATTCAGAACATTTTTAATCATACACCTGTTGCTTAAAATGTAATTTAGTTTGAATGTCAATGTCAAAATACATTTGAGCACATCCGTGTATTGCACTGCGACACATTTACTGTACATACTGAAGCAGAAAGCTGTCCTCTTGTCAATATTGGACGAAAGGAAGGATTGACACACATACAATACTAATTATAGATTCAGTCATGTCAAGTCATGAAACATCATGTAAAGGCAGAGGTTTTTTTAATTCAGTTCTGAGATTAAGGTCATGGATTAAATACAAAATAACTTACATTTCTGTTGCCGTTTCAATGTTTTTCATGTCCGACTGATTCCTTAAAGCGACGCGTCTGAGAGTCAAAGGAAGTTCACATTTGTATTTCTGTCATCTGTGACAGTATTACTAAAGCTGCATTAACACTCCAGTACTTCTAATGTAATATCATTACTGTTAAATTATAGCTGAAATAACTACAAAAGACAGAGAAAGTCCTGAAGTTTGGAGCTCATTCGACTTCCACTGCTTCTTTTTGTGGAATAATTTTGGCAGGCTTATAGAAATATAGAAAAACACGATTAAATATTTAGTTTTGACAATGTTTAATATTGTGGTGAGTCAGCGCAAAAAAAGTTAACACTGTTAAAAATGTTACTCTGAGAAAGTGAACAAACATTTTATAAAAATATCAATAATCCCAACATTTACAAAAAGGCAGAGTCAGCATCTGGTTTCTATTGATAGAAACAGATTTATATCCTTAGAAGCTGCTCAGCAGCTGCCAGATGAAACAGGAAGTTCTCGGTGGCCGCAGGGAAATGATGTTTCTTTAAACCTTCCAGTGTTATTTTAGAGTCTTCACAGGTTTCTGCCAGGGCAACCAAGTTGGCCAGAATGTCCTTGGTCTTCAGAGACAGATCCTGTGGATTAAAGTGTAGTAAGAAATGAAGTAAGAAATAAGCTGTTGCAATTATGGTCTGTCATATCATAGAAACAGTATCTTGTCAACTGTTGTCTCACTTTCTCTCTGAATTTCTCAGATATTCACAGACTTGGCCGCTCTAAGGTTGTGTCCGGGCTGCATACTTCAACAGACGCAATGTACAAGATGGTGCTGTGGTTGTGTCCTCACCTTAATCACCTGACTGTCTGACTTCTCGGGGTCTTCAGATGACTGGACAATAAGGTGACCAACCTCTTTGTGTAGCTTCCCCATGGACATGGCCTCTGTGGACAGACAGGAAACACTGCGTAAGTCTGAGGTCGATGTTGTTTGGCATCAAAGAGTCAGACAGTTACTTTTAAATGTATAATGTACCTTTAGCATTCTGGGAAACTTTGATGACACTGTCAGGGAGGTTCACATACACATCAAACAATTCTGGCCTGTTAACGACTTCCGGCTCAACAAATCCTGCTATGTAACCTATGAAGGACAAACACGTTCATATGTCATCAGATTTATATATACGGCAGGCTTTATAAAAACTCACTGCAACATGAACAGATCACAGAAATCAAAGTACAGACGGTGAAGTAGAAATGATCATTTTCTCTGTTTTTACTCTAAGAAAGTATACTGCACGTTAGTAGAACTCAGCCTCACCAGGACATTTCTGTAAATCCTCCACTTCAGTGTCATTCAGGTCCACGTATGGGTGCAGGATGGACCAATCCTTCCTGTGCCACGAAAGGGCTGGCAGAACTCTGCAGTGTGGAACATTCAAGTTGGCTAAAACGATTCAGGCTCATCGTGCTCCATCTGGTTGGTACTAGACTGAGATCTCACGTTTACCTTGTAAACTCCAACAAGGCTTCAATACGAGGATGATGGACGACGATCCTCTTCTTCAGCATGACGGCAGTGTAGAGGATGATGGTCTCCATGCCGAACTGAGACACCACATCTGAGAAAGAGTGAGCCAACTGGATCAGTTACCGTCCTCCTGGTGTGTAAGTATGTGCAGAGTTTGTTTGGGTTCACATCAAACTAGAACATTTCTACTGCTTCATCCTGGTTAGGATCAGAGAGAGAACTGGAGCCAAGTTCATCAGATGGACGTTTATAGACAACCATTAACACTCACATTTGAGTGTACAATTGAACTGTTGAAGAGTTCTATTAAGCAGGTGGACGTGCGTTTTCTAAAAGAAGACATTTCACCTCTCATCCAAGGGGCTTCTTCAGTTCAGAACTGAAACCAAACTGAACAAAATTATTTATGCACAATTCTACATAGGTTATCAATAATACAGCATAACTGCTAAAATATGTCCAAATAAAAAGCCGACACGTTGACAACAAAGTAAAAGCTTTCTAAAGCAGTTAAAGATGTTAAAAGAAAATTTGAAAAGAGTATTTTAAAAAAAAGGCCAAATCCTAGCTAGGGGAAGCCATTGTATTATAATGATGTGAAAAAGAAAATTTCTCTGTCAATCCTACCTTTGATTGAACCGGCCAGGTACGCCTTCCGTACATCATAGTCCTTAATGAGGAACGAGCCATTTTCATCACTTTGGCAAATTCCTTTAATAAGAACAGTCAGGTAAGCCTCCATCATCTTCACTGGGCTGCCATGTTTGATGTACATCCTAAAAAAACAATAATACACTGTTATTATCTAAACATTCAATGTAAGATGAACAAATACATTAAACCTGCAGTTTAATTATCATTAACTTGTTTACCTGCAGAGTATTCGACTGAGTGCTGCATACTTTTCTGGATTAAAGTCTTTTGCTGTTAGTGCTATTGAAAAATGAGTGACCTTGAAGTAGGAAAAAGACAAATACTATGATGTGTTAACGTTATGATTTTTACATTAATGCTAATGACTCCTAGTTAATGTCTGTCTGTCGTACCTTTTTTAGTGGGGTTGATTCCTGTACCTCCACTGTGGTGATGTAGTACCAAGTACCACAGAACTGACCAAACACAAAAGTGTGAAAATCCCGGCCCTGCTGTGTGAGGCAACACTTGCTGAGCAGCACTTGTCTCAGGTTTGAGTCCACGGAGGGATAACACCACACCCACAGCGTGTCTCCGTTTGCATCTTTCTCTGGGTGATAATTAAAATATATATATATCAATAAAATAAAACTTTACCACATTATGTGATAGTACTGTACAGTGCAGTGCAGGTCTTTGTCCTATTAAAAATGTCTGAAATCAGGGGCAAAGCAAGTAAGTGGACAGCTGGAGTTTTTCAAACAGCAAAAACGACCATTTAATCTGAAACTCTGTTGTTCCGTTTGTTATACTTAGTGTTAAAAGCACGGTCTGTGTACTGTCATGTGAGTGCTTGTGGTTTGTTGGTGTAGTCTGGCAATTTGAACGTAAAATATGAATTTGTATTATTTAAGAAACGAGTGGTGCCATGCTGTTTATTTGCAGCTGGTGGCTTAAACATAAACAAATCGAAAAACATTTTGTTCCTACTCATAGCAGGAGCAGTGGATTCTAGTGGAAAGTGCAGGCTGAGCAAACACTTTGGGTCACACTTGGATCATGTGATTCTTTTACCAGATGTCGGATCTTAGGACAACTATTCAGATGCAATAGTTAGAACACACTCACCTATTAATCCAACGCTTAGCATAAGCTGCGTTTCAATTGTTGCCATGTTCCATACCTAGGAAAGTTAATAATCACAAGTTCAAAGTAGAGAAAAAAACACACCGATCAGAAGTCCTTAAAGAGACTGGTAACACTGAAGTACCTTCTGCGTCCAAACGCTAAAATAGAATCCCGTGCAGGTTTATTGTAAAAGAAAATATTTAAATATGATGTCGTCGCTCCCACATATGTCAAAGAGTCCTAGTTTCCACCACACTTCCTATTTCCGGGACTGCAGGTTAGAAGCGGTCACAGTCAATCATATCTCGCGATATTAACAGCTCTGTTTTGGCAGGTACGGAAGCAAACTAATTTTTCCAATAAAATAATATGTTTATATATATTTATGTGTATATATATATAATAAAGCAGTTTGCCTGTTTGAATAGCAAATATATTGTCTTTGTATTGTATTCATTTGAATATAGGTTGAAAAATAATTTGCAAATCATCGTATCTGTTTTTATTTACGTTTAACACAACGTCCCAACTTCATTGGGATTTGTGTATATATTATATATATATATATATATATAAATATATATTATTTGTGAAAATAATGTATGAAAACAAGCCCAACAGCAAATTATAGCATTAAAGCCTAAATTAAAACGACCTTGAATAAGATTCTATGATGACTTCAAGTACCCTCGGAGAGATTTAGATCAGGTAAAGTGCATTAAAAGCGTCCAATATATATATGTGTGTATATATATATATATATAGCTGAAATAACTATTAACTATAAAAAATTGAAATTATTTTGTATTAAGATTATTTGTTTTTGTAGATTTCCACCAATGAGCCTTTCTGTTACAGTCGTCAAAGCACGCTCTTAGAGACTAAACCAACTCAAAAATGAACGTGGATGTCAGCGGTCAACTGCAGGGGGCGGGCTGATATTTTGTATAACGGAAATAGGAATACGTTGTACTGTCCTTATTTCCGGTTGTGAATCCGTCGCATGAGAAACGAGTGTTAGCCGTTTGGGCTTCCAGAGGGAGTGCAAGTCAAAAAACTGGGCTCGGTGGCTACATGTGATTGACTGAAATGGTGGGTTTTTGAAAACAATTGTCGGCTGTATTTTGTTTGAAATGGTAGTCGCTCGGTCGAGACCGTTAGTGCAGTTTACGCTAGCATATGTGTCTCGGCAGCTAACGTTAGTTTTTGTCAGTAGTTAAAATGATTCGTAGTTAGTTTCTTGTCCTAAATAATGAACATAGAGTTGACAAGGTAAATAAGAACTTGGCCTTTGACAGGATTATGAGCTGAGATGATGCACCTTTTTGAAAAATATGAAATGAACTTGCAAATATTTCTTTTCTGTACAGAAACCCACCCTACTGCAGGGCCACGAACGCTCCATCACTCAGATCAAGTACAACGGAGAAGAAGACCTGTTTTCCGTCGCTAAAGATCCAGTGAGTGACACGAAATGATTGTACTTAACAAGTGCCACCAATGACTATAGGATAGTAATTAGTTAAGTATATGGAATGTCCACGTGGAGCTACAAATGGCAACACGACTCTGCTAGTCGAGTAGCAGAGTAATCCTCTGCTAGTTTTGACTTGCAATTGTGTTACAAACATAAGGCTATATGCTCTATAGTGTGTATGATATGAAAATCATACTGTAATCATGAAAACGGGACTAAGACCAGTAGAATTGATTTATTTTCATTCAAATTAAAAAGAAAGTAGTGCAACATGGATTTCTTCCTGAGGTTATTGGTGGCGCCAGTAGTGTAGAGCAAACCAATCATTTGTGAAGTTAAACCATGATTGCATTGAATCCTTTTAATATTTACCTTCAACAATGTCTCCCC